CCTACCTGTTCCTGCTGCTGCCATGCTGCCTTCCAGGCCTGCACAGACGGTGGGCCTGGAAGGGAAGCCGGGCAGGCCCATTATTCCCAGAGCAGCCCCTTGTCTTTGGGGATGTGCCAGCCTATCAGCTGGCTGACGCTTGCCTGGGCCAACAAAGTCAGCTAGCTCTGGGAATGGATGTCCGGTCTGCTGCTTTTGAAGATGGTGTTGAAAGTGGCGATGACCCCAGCAGGTAGGCCAGTGGGGGCAGGAAAGGCCCATATGGAGTCAACCACGTGATTCAGACCAATGGGTCCAAGTCACGAGTTGAGTCTCAAGTCCCCAACAAAACCCGCAAGTTGAGTCCGAGTCAAGTCACCAGTGGAACTCAAGGCAAACTTGCTTGTGAGTCCCCATCACTGGAATCATGTGTGAGAACATCAGTGAAGGGAGGCAGCTGACTAAGATTGTGCATTATCTGCTTGTTCATGTCTGAGAAGGTCCCCGCCCTTATGATTTCCTTGAGCAAGCAGAGAATAGAGAGCTTCAGGTCTGTGAGCATCTTGCCTTTTTTAGTTTTGAAAAATGACATTCCCAGGAACAGCCGAGAGAACAGATGCAGCTGTTAATTTTAGAGAGGCTCCTTTTTTGTTCACCAGCTTCTTAGTGCATCCCAAGTGTGAATACTAATCACCTTCAGGAGAAAAAGAGAGAGAAGCAGCATTCAGCCATTTCTCATCCTCCACCCTTTGCTCTTTATTGGCATAGGCTACCCTCACCAAGCAGCAGAATGAATTTAAGATCATCTTGAAAGAACTGGAGGACTCTTTGCTAGCTAGACTTTCTGCTGCATCAGGAAACTTCCTTGGGGACACAGCCTTGGTGGAGAACCTAGAGACAACCAAGCGTACAGCTAACGAGATCGAAGAAAAGGTGTGTGGGATGCCCCCAGCCTTTGCTGTGCTACTGTGATCTATAGCACAGTACAGAGGGCTTGCCAGAATCCCTAGCAAAAGTGGATGAGATCTATCACCCCATCAGAAAGAGGGAAGGCCTGGAGAGGTTCCTTCTGGATTTTCTGCCTATGAAGCTCTGTCAGATGACATGTGGAATGTTGCTTGTTTTTTAGGTGAAGGAGGCTAAAATTACTGAAGTGAGAATTAATGAAGCCAGAGAAAACTACAGGCCAGCTGCAGAAAGAGCATCCTTGTTGTATTTCATATTAAATGACCTCAACAAAATCAATCCCATCTATCAGTTTTCCCTAAAGGTAATTAATGATGTAGCAGGCTACTTGGATGGGTCATTGATTGCATTTGTGCAGAAGAATCATCACTCTTCTGTTGGCACAGAATTTTTTAAGTCAGTCATAGCCTTCTAATCCATTAATCTTAATAGGTTGCTTGTGTGGTAAGGGTGAATAATCCTCCTAATATGGTGGAATCTGGTAGGAAAACTTCTGCAGTATCACTGCTGTACTATGGCGATCTAGCCGATAGAGTGAAGGCTAACTGAGGACCAGAGAGAAACAACTTGTCACAAGGTCATATTGAAAGATCTTACCAAAAGATTTGAATCTTGATGTCTGTGCTACACTAGAACCCTTATGTGGGGTGATCTGGTCTTTAAACTAAGATATCCCCCTTGTGCTTTTATAGAAACTAAGCTGTGCAGCTTTTATAGAAACTAAGCTGTGCAGCCATTTTAACAGACGCACACACACACACCCCACCTTGGGGCTGTGCTTTTACTTCTTTTCCAACCAGGCATTCAACGTGGTCTTTGAGAAAGCCATTCAACGTACTCTTCCAGCCGATGATGTGAAACAAAGAGTGATCAACCTAACGGATGAGATCACATATTCAGTCTACATGTATACAGCGCGGGGACTTTTTGAGAGAGACAAGCTTATTTTTCTAGCCCAGGTTGCCTTTCAGGTAAGAGGATAAATGCTGGGACTAAAGAACTGATGGTGTGTTTGTTCTTTTCTTCATATGTGGAGTCAGTCAGCCTCACTGCTCCTGCGTGGGACCCACATTACAATTGTAGGGAAACAATAGCATGTGCCACCTTTTATTGTAGCTGAAACATAATCAGTTACTATCTGAGCAAACAAGGACCGTTGTAAAATAAGTTGTGGGAATGTTCATAGCATGACTGAGCAAGCAACCTAGGTGGGTCCAGAGCTGGTTCTTCTTTCTCTAGAGTGCTTCTTAAAACCACTCCTGTTGCCAGAAATAGCAAGAAATGAGAGTGGGGCACCTCATGCAGCCCTAGGGCTGAACTCTGCTTACCCATATCTCATTTCTTGGCATTACCCATGCCCCACTCTCGTTGCTTGGCATTTCTTTTTTGGGGGAAAAGTCCCGACTGCCAGTAGGCAGAAAGAAAGAAAGAAAGAGCAAACAGTCTTGTTTTTACTGTATTTCTTCCTGCCATGGGTGGGGAGAGGGGCTTGTGGCATTTTCTCTATGTGCCAAAAATATTTGGCTGTCTTTAGGTGTCATGCCAAAAAAAAAAAAGAAAAGAAAAGAAAAGAAAAGAAAAGAAAAAAGGTGGGAGGGGGGAGAATGTCTTGGGAACATCCAACCTGTTTCAGCCTTCTGTTAATTTGGGGACCTTCCCAGGGGCTGGAAGTTGAAAGTTGCATTTTAAAACTATATTATACAACAGCAAACAGAACAGTTACAATGCAGTCACATGATTCACATTGCCTGGAGGCCTGTCTAAAATGACTTACCATGTTAAAACAAAGTCTATATGAGGAATTACCAGGAAATGAGGAATAGTTGAGAGCTACCATTTTTGCAAATTTTATATTAGAACAGATGTTAATTGCGGTCTTTAAGTAAAGCTCATTTAGGTCAATGAAAGAGATCTCTCCCCCCCCCAGCCCCTTTCTTTTGATGAATGCTTGCTAGTTCGGGTTTATCTGTGGTGTTTTTCCTACTGGTTGAATATTGAATGGAATAACACAGCTATTCTGAAGAGTTTCCAGACAGACTGGTGCAACAACCGTCTGTTTCTGAGAAACAGGGTTGAAGGTACTAAGATAAAGCAGGAGGAACTTGTTAAACAATACAACAGTTTCAAAGAGGAGCAAATTGCATGCCTCCACTCTTTTCAGATACTGTTGTGCACAAAGGATCTATAGAACTTTGAATGTTTTAATGTTCAAGGATAATGAATAGCTCACAAGAAAATGGAGTGCTGTTTTAAACAAATGCTCATAAGATTGCATGATTCTAGTGAAAATAAACATCTCATCTCAGTCATGGGGAGTTATATGAAAAATACACAAGAACTGAGACTTTGGAGGGAGATGTCTTCTCTGCCTTATGGGTGGAATGCCTGCCAGTTAGCTGGTTTTCAGTACTATACACTTTGATTTTAATACATGGGATGCTGTTTTTTTGGTCTCCTTAAGTGTGAAGGGCTCCCAGATAAATCAGGGGTTAGGATGTCACCCTTGCCTTCCACCCCAACCATTCTCTGAGGGATTCCCTCCTGGACTACCTTACCCCTGGATGGTGGCTATTTTGCCACTGGTGAAGCTGCCCACCCCACCAGATCTCCAGTGAAAGTGGAGGAGGAGAGGATGGCTGGGCAGGTTTGCTTGGAGGGATCAGAAGGCTAAGAATGCACACAAGGACAAGAGAGGGGGTCAAGGACTGAAGGTTCTGGGAAGAAGAGGTCTAGAGATTATAAAAGGGAGGTAGAGAAGAATTGAAGAGGGACTGGACTGGCATCAGCAGGTTAGAGGGTGGAACACAGGAAAGAAGAAAAGGCTGAACGGGAGGTGGAAGCACTGGAGCAGCCCCAACTGGAACCACCCAAAGAGGTTCTAGAAGTGGCCAGTTTTAGAAGGTCAAGGGACAAGATTGCCCAAAGAAGATCCTGCCAGCAGAACCAGTCCCGCCAACACCAACTTCAATCCAGCTGAAGGCAGACAGTTTAACCATCTCCAGCAATCAGAAACAGAAATCTGTGCCATCCAACGCACAACCACCTCCTCACAGAGTAGAGGACAGAGGTGGGGACAATTTTAAGCCTTGAAGTTATAACATTGCCTCATTGTAAAAAACTTGAATTTCAAGTGAAACCTGACTCTTGCCTCTTACGTTGAGACCACTGGACTTGTTTGGAGCCCCCTTTCTCTATGGAAGACCTGGAGGCACACACGCAAAGGCACCAAAATATATTGGGCCAGCTCAGGAAAAAAATAGTAGCAAGAAGTAGTTGAGGGAGACAAAACTACATAAATAAAAAAGCAACTGGAGTATTGGGGAAATACAGAAGATGAGAGCAGAGAGGACAGGGGAAATGCAACAATAAGTCTAATAGTAAAAAGGGAAGATTAGGCAGCAGACTCTACCAAGGTCAAGGTCAAAACTAGGAGGCTGAGCTAGCATTAGTAAAACCACCTCCATCACTGGAGACACAATTAGTTGCTCCTTTGGTCAGTCATCACCTCCTTCTAGGTTGACGTCTACAATATCTGTTGTGGATCAGCCTACCAGCATGTACAGTCTACATTTGGACCTACAAGACTACCTGAGGCCAGATTACCTGAGGGTAGAATCTCTACCCTTGCCTTTGGGTTCTCTTCTGCCATCAGGAGGGTTAATAAATTCAGGAGAAGAACCGTAGCAGCTGTTCTACCAACGACTGCCATGGGTAGTGGGGTGAATAGTCCTAACATTTCATCCCTTCATCCCTAGGTCTTGCTGGTGAAGAAAGAAGTAAATCCGGTAGAACTCGACTTTCTCCTGCGCTTTCCCTTTAAAGCTGGATTGACGTCCCCAGTGGATTTCCTGTTAGGGCAAGGATGGGGTGGAATAAAGGTTGGTTTGGAAGCACAAACGTTGTCGTTGGGCTGCACCTCTCCTCATTCTTCCTCATTGGGGACACAAAGGGAGCATAAAGGTTTGTTTGGAAGCACAAACGTCGTTGGGCTGCACCTCCCCTCATTCTTCCTCATTGGGGACACAAAGGGAGCAGGTTGAAGACCACAAATCCCTCCACCTGCTCTTCGCCTTTCCAACTGAGAACATGAGCTGTATGTGGGGAGCATGTACATGTTATGAGGCCATGAGGGTGTTTTCAGGAGGGCTTTAATAGGCTAAATTAGGCCCATGAGCTGGATTTTTGTTCTCCCAACCATTAGCTGACATGTCAGGATCACGTACAGCACCCCTGGGTGTCGGGGGCAAACATTTGGCCCATCAACCTTCCAAAGTATCCCACATCTGTTTTGTACCCACTATCTTCTGTTACACTATTCTCAGGTGCTTTCTGAGATGGATGAGTTCAAAAATTTAGACAGCGACATTGAAGGTTCTGCTAAGCGGTGGAAAAAGTTTGTAGAGTCTGAGACCCCGGAGAAGGAAGTATTCCCTAAGGAGTGGAAGAACAAGACGGCTCTGCAGAAGCTGTGCATGATGCGATGCATGAGGCCAGACCGCATGACCTACGCCGTCAAGTAGGTGCCACCCTTTTTGGTGCATGGAGGTTGGGAGGTCAGTGAGACTGGGATTGGTGTCCATGGGGACAGCTCACAATGATTGAAACAAGTTATTGTGTCCATGGGGAGTGGAAGCAGCTTCACCATGGAGCAAACCATGATGAGATGGTGGTGCAAGGTCACACCGTACTGCCTGGACAGAACGTGGTTTGGCTGTCTGTTTCATTTCTACCCTACCTTTCTCCTGGAGAGGGGGCCCCGGACAGCTCACAATGATTGAAACAAGTTATTAGGGGGGAAAAAACTCCAATAAATTACAAGGTTAAAATGCAGTTAAACATGCAGTACTAATCCAAAGGCTATACGTTAATCATGCATTCATTACTACAAAGCCTTTAAAACTTTGAAAGCATGCTGAAAAGAATGAGGATTCCAGCATCTAGGAATGAAGAGGTAGGCTGACTGTTGAGCAGAGGATGAAAGGGAGGGGGGCCAGCCTAACTTCCCAAGGGAGGAGAGCATTCCACAATCTGGGAGCAGCTGCAGGGAAGGCCCTCTCTCGTGACCCCCTCCGATGCACCTATGATGGCAATGAGACTGACAAAAGGGTCTCCTCTGAAGGATTGTATGGGGAGAGGGTTGTGCTGGTGACTACCATATAAATCCTGGCTAGTCACTATCCTTTGGGCTCAGCCTCCCTCCTAAACTGGCAGAAACCATATGACAAAAATGGTGTGACAGACCCTTATCTACAAGTCCGACAGCTGGCATATCCCTTCTACCTACAGCCCTGCCCATGAGCACAGAGGGCTCCAGTAAGATCTATCAGGGAGAGCATACAGCCCCGTTCTTTGTTGGCCACCAGCAGTTCTGGCAAGCTAGAACTACTCTGGGAAAACAAGAGTATAGGTATGGTGGGGCATTCTCTTCGACACACAAAATATAGGGATTTCACTTTATTTATTCATTGGATTTTACATCTCCGTTTTATGGAGTTATCAAAAGGCAATTACCATGTTTGGCACACTCTGGGAGGCATTTTCTTTTGTACTGACTGTCAGTAGTTGTCCCATATCACTGGAATCGTAACCAAAAAAGGGAAAAAAAGGAAGAAAAACCACTTGTAGAAATGTTTTTTAAAAGTTTTCTATTTCTCTGTGTGCATTACTGTGACCTAAAAAGAAGGAGGCAGATAAGGGGGATAAGATTAACAGGAAGAGAAAAGGGGAAAGCAGCAGAATGGTTTTGATGGGGTGGGTGAGAAACAAGATTTTCATCTTCATCTTCATCACCATCATCACAAAGCAGCTGTTTCCATCTCTCCAAAGCTCAAAATGGGTGAAGGGAGGCATGAAGTGCAGGGTTTTTAATGGGCAGGATTTTTCTCCTTCACATTGATAAGACTCTTGGAGTTATAACTTAAATCTAAACACCCATTTAAAATTAATACATAGATTAAAAACATGCCCTTTTCATAACAAACGGTAATTGAATTAGACCCTTTAGCCATTAACCATTAGTTTAATATGTGACAGTTTCTCACAGATTTTCCATTCTGGGGGCTGCTGCAGCAAAAACAATAAATGCTTTAGTAAGGTCTTAAAAGACTAATGGAATCTCTGCTGTAAGCTTCCTTGAGCTGCCCTTGGCGTTTCATGACTTGGCCTACAGTCCATGAAAGCAGATGCCAAATAGCACTTGTAGGCTTGAAAGAGCCTTTAGGGTCACAGGAGTCTTTGTGATTTTAATACAGAGGGCATTGATAGCTTTGTTTTAAGAATGCAATCTGTTGTGCAAGTCTACTCAACAATAAGACATACTGAGGGGAGCCAGTAATCCTCCCAAGTAAGTGTGCACAGGTTTGCTGCCCAAAGCTGTTCAAGAGTGGCCAAACTGGTTAGTTATTTTATGGATCACCTTTCATATCATTAATTGGCAGTAATCTCCAGCAATCCATTCTGCCTGTCACCTCCCCAAATATACTTTTTTAAGGAACTTTGTGGAGGAGAAAATGGGAAGTAAATTTGTTGAAGGCCGGAGTGTTGAATTCTCCAAGTCATATGAAGAAAGCAGTCAGTCTACCCCGATATTTTTCATTCTGTCTCCTGGAGTTGATCCCCTGAAAGACGTTGAAGCGCTAGGTAAGTTGGTAACCCTTATCTAGCAAGTGCACCCTCTGCCAATGCACAGGGAGAAAGAAAGCTTTAATGAATCACAGACAATGAAATAAAACTTTCCAATTTTAATAATTTTGTTAGGGCAAAAGCTTGGCTTCACCATAGACAATGGGAAAATACACAACGTGTCTCTTGGCCAAGGACAGGAGGTTGTGGCAGAAAGCGCTCTGGACGTAGCTGCAGAAGAGGGACACTGGGTCATCCTTCAGGTATTAAATTGCAACAAGATTCTTGTTTATCCATTGCATAAGCTGCATGCTTCCTTTGCACTTGGGACTTAAATAATTTCTTAGTAAGTGAACAATTTTCAGTAGATTAGTAGATACATGCACAAACACTCTGTGGTATTATCCAGAAATAAGCCACAGCAACTAATCCCTCAAGCATACACTGGCATCCTGTTTTGACGGAAAAGTAGAGTTCTGAGATGGGACACATATTCCTCACTTAACAGTGAGAATCTCACCACTTCCGTAGGTGCACTACTTGTATGAGTTGAATGCAGATTTAGGTGCATGTAGCCAGGCCGAAAGGAGCTGACTTCCTTTTTCCCTCTTGCCCATGGAAATCCTTCTGCCACCTTCTCCCACTGTGTTGCGCAGAATCAAGCAGGTCCGCCGTGCACAACAACCATTGCAGAAGGCATCAGTGAGACCCCACCCAATTACTGGATGACGGTGATGTGAGGCGAGGGAAAAGCAATTTAAAGAAGGATTCCTCTCCTACCAGCAGTTGGATGTCTTCATAGTTGTTCTCACTCCAGCTGCAGCTAAAGAGGGTTCAGAGCTGGGAATGGAAAGAGAGGTTAAACCTCATTAGCAAATAACATGTACCTTATGTACCTTATAGAACATACATCTGGTAGCCAAGTGGCTGAGCACACTGGACAAGAAAGTAGAACGGTACAGCATTGGGAGCCATGATGACTATCGAGTATTCATGAGCGCTGAGCCAGCTCCCTCTCCAGATGCACATATTATTCCTCAAGGCCTCCTGGAAAATGCCATTAAAATCACCAATGAGCCTCCAACAGGCATGTATGCCAACTTACACAAAGCGCTGGATCTTTTTACACAGGTAAGGAGGCTCCCACTGGCTGTCTAGCCCAGTGAATTAGATGTCTGACTGCAGAGCCAGAGGCTGGGTATTGAGTTCATCACTGTGTGTCCCAGGGAAGAGCCAACCTGTATAGCCCTGAGCAGACTGCACAGCTCCCCTGTGCCCCAAGGGGGGAAAAAAAGTAAATTACTCCTGTATACCTAGAAACCCCTAGAAAAGGGTCAGTGTAAGTTGAAACTGACTTGCTGTCACATAAATATTATAAAGGCAGCTCTACTGTTAACTTGTTTTGACTCCATATTATCTGTCACAATTATAAATCAGCACTACAGTTGGTTTATTTTTTTCCTAGTTTCTTTGGTACACTAGCACTGCCTTGCCGGGAAAAATGGCTGGGCTCCAGCCTCCCTTTTACAGGTTCTCATGTACATTTGTGTCTATAATACCGGTTAATTTCTGGATTACATTTTTTTCTCTTATCTGTTGGAGGTAGTCCACCAGCAGAACTCCCTTCTTATCCCAAAAACCTGTTGCCATTTGCTTCTGCACGGACCTTTGCACTCAGAGCTTCTTCGGCTTCTTGGGGGAACCACTGTGCCCCCATTCCTTAGACTGTTCCTTTGTCTCAGGATCATAACAGTAGATCCATGTCTCATCACCAGTTACCAGTTTGCACAGGAAATCAGACTCATTTCTTGCAAAATGTTCCAAAACAGCCACCAATAACTCCACACGTTTCCTCCTTTGTTCGGTTGTCAAAAGTTTGTGGATCCACTTTGCTGCCAGCTTTCTCATGTCCAGGTCATTGTGGATAATGGCACCAACTCTCTCACGTGATATTCTCAGACATATAGCAATACTTTTGGCTCATATTTGGTGGTCCTCCATGATCATGTCATGGATGGCTTTCACATTTGCAGGCACAGAGATAGAGACAGGCCTTCACTTTTAACACCAAAATGGCCATTTTTAAAATTGACAACCCGACGTTTAACTGTTGCATATGAAGGGCCGCTGTCGCCCATAGTTTGTGACATTTCATAATGGATCTGCTTTTACCTTTTCCTTGGAGAAACAGGAACTTGATTATGGTCCTATGCTCTTCCACATTGAACTTTTCTGGAGGTGCCGCCATGTTCAATTTGGACCTGAACATGAAAGATGAGTTAAAATCATAGGTAGTTGATTTTTGCATCATTGAATACAGACAAATTGGCCAATACCCCCTGCAATGTATAGCTTCCTAGCTCAATTTTTTTCTGGGAAAGGCTCAATACTTATCAGCACCCCCTCATATTTTATATTATAACTAGAGATGGGACTTTTGTTTAAATATGAAAAAAGTTCTTTATTTTCGTTTTTGGGTTCTTGCATTGATTTTGAAAAGACAGTCTCTTAAACATGATTAGTTCATAAAATAGGAATAAATGAACCTTTTTTCAATTTTCTTTTCTTTTTCACCATCATTGCCATACTACATTCCTTGCAGAATAGCGAGCTACTGGGTGCCAATATGTACAGGTCTATTAGGGCTTTTTTGGGCAAGTGTCAGAGAGGACACAAAGAGAGGAAAACAAAACAGCAGAACCAGTTCCTTTTGTGTTTAACAAAAGGAGTAGTACACAAAAGACACAAAAACACAAGAGGCATCTTGCTGAAAGAACCCAAAACTAAACCACAAGATTAGGACAATCTTCCTTTTTCTGTATGTACATCCCACTTAGGTCCCATATACAGTAAGAAGTGTTCAATAGTGGCTGTGAGTGGGCCTGCTTAAGGCTCAACATATATTCACTATAATTTTGTTGTTTATGACCCATTGTTGTTTTTCCTAAATCAGATTTTAATTTGTGAAAAATACATCCCCATGGCTTCTTTTAAAGTGAAATACACGTTTACACTGTAATATTGTAATGGCAGAATGCTAATGTTTGTTATAGAGTAATAGGTTGCTATAACATAGTAATGATAGTTTAGAAAAAGTAATGAGAATTAGAAAAAATCATCAAGTGTAAGGACGAGTTACTGAGATCAAGACTATCGACACTTTGGTATTTCCTATCACCATGTGTGGGTGTGAAAGTTGGAAGGAGAAAAGCTGATTTGTTGGAAATGTGATGCTGGAGGAGAGCTTTGTGGAGATCCTGAACTGCCAGAAAGATGAACAAGTTCTAGATCAAGCCTAAATTATCTCTGGAGGCAAAAATGTTGAAGCTGAAGCTGTTCTACTTTGGGTACATTATGAGAAGGCAGGATTCTCTGGAAAAGACCCTAATGCTGGGAAAGGTAGAGGGCAGCAGGAAAAGAGGGTAATCCAATATGAAGTGGGCCGACTCCCTCAAGGTAGCCATAGGTTTGAGTTTACAAGAGCTGATCGGGGCTGTTGAGGACAGGACATTTTGGAAGTCACTCATTCATAGCGGAGATGACTTGACAGCACACAACAACAAAGTTTAGAAAAATACATGTTCCAGAGATTTATTTTAGCAACATGGTTAATGGGCATGAGTAGACTTGGTTTTTAAAAATCCTTTTAATTTCTAATTAATGATTCAATATTATGTTGTTCAAGTACTATACTGATCATTCATTTTAAAGCATTATAACTGGGAAAGTGTTTTATTGTTACTTTAAAAGCAGATTAAAAAGTAGATTATCGCTTCTCGGCCTTTTGGCCAAGATCAAGTGTGTAGATTAAAAAAAACAATCACGGTCATAAAACAATATTCACGCAAGGATAATCGTGAACAGTATCAATCTACAATAGGTTCATTTTCCTGGTAGGTCACTGCCCAGAGCAAGAACCCTCCCTGGCTAAAAGACAGAACACCCAGTACCAAAGGCTTCTGGGCTGATGGGGATTACTCTGTCCTCTTCTCACTCTTCTGAAAAATTCAGACGTTCCACAGTCCAAAACAAAACAAAACAAAACATAAGCCGCCTAGAGTGGTCTATTGACTAGATAGGCGGGATATAAATAAAATAAATAAAATAATAAATAAATAAATAAAAAAACTCAGACTGAACAAATACAGGGAATTATAAGATGACCATAATCGGATGATGCCATTGGGCCATTCCTTATCAAACTGAGAAAACCAAGTGTGGTGCAGTGGAGATTAGCACCATATAGGCTTATACCTTGGTTCTGGATCACTCTCCCTGCATCGTGGCAACACATTGTACCGCATTTTAAAATGACACTGATTGGTCTTTCATAAAGGTGCTACCCAGTAGTGACCTTTCTTGTTCTCTTTTAGGATACTCTGGAAATGTGCACCAAAGAAATTGAATTCAAGTGCATTCTTTTTGCACTCTGCTACTTCCACGCAGTGGTGGCAGAACGGCGGAAATTTGGAGCTCAAGGATGGAATAGGTCTTACCCATTCAACAATGGCGATCTCACCATTTCCATCAATGTACTGTATAACTACCTGGAAGCCAATGTGAAGGTAAAGATTTGAATTCTTTACATGGCAAAGCGACTGCTAAGCAATAATCAAGAGCCCCTTTCCTCCAGTGCTTTGATCAATGAATGCTAATACGTCTCGGAAATGGAGAAGTGCTTTATTTCCTGTGCTTACTGGCTAGTATCCTATTGCTGTTGCCACCTAGGGCAGACCCATTGACTCGAAGGGGTTTGTATAAGATTAGGCTTAGCATTCAGCAATTGATTCAGTGGGCCTACTGGCAGGCGGCTGGACTCAGTGACCTAGCCCTATAACTGTACAATTCTATTCTAGCGAGGACTAGCAACAGAGTACCGACCATGGAGTGCAACAAACAGTGCACCAAGTTGGCAGGGGACCCTGTTTTCAGAGCAAACAGACTGCATTTCTCAGGAAACCTTTTTCGACTGAAAAGTCACGACGTTTCTTTACTCTAAATTTAGAGTTGTATTTGGGTAGTGTATTGTGTAAATAGAATGAAAACCATTTTATCAGCCCACTCCTATCCATGGAATTCAAGGGAAAGTGGCATTTTATGGCCTTTATAGGTCAGAGGGGTGGGGTAGTAACAGTACGCTTCCTCAGGGTTACCCTTTTGTGACCATCCTTCGGCTAGAGTGATAGTATTTGCTTCAAATCATGGATTCAGTTAAGATAAATTTTGTCCTTTCCATAAAGAGTCTGAATGTTCCTGAAGAAGTTGGTTCTAAAAAAATGTCTATAAACTTATGCAGATTTTTGTGATAATCCATTTGTAATAACTGTTGGCAACATGAAAAATGGTTTATTTGTGCTCTTTAAAACATTAAACGATATTTTAATTTAAAATTACCTTTTTTGTTGTTAAAAGGTGATTGGGTGATAGTAAAGGGAAGATGGGGAAGCGGAAGGGTTTCTCAAAAATATATTTAAAAAGGCATCACGTCCCTGCAGCAAGGGTGAAGAACTTCTTTCAGCCTGGTGGCCAAATACAGATTCAAAATTGGTGAATTTGGTGATTAAAAACCAGTGGTGGGCAGGACAAATGGTGGACCGAAAATACATTGTATTTTAGCCTAGAGCTTTTATTGCAGGTAACTAAGCCTTAAGGAGAGCTATTTTAGACTTTCAAGATTAAGACAACAGAATGTAAAAGCTGAGAAAGCAGCAAATAATGGTATAATGGAGAAGGAAACACAGCCATCTGGAAGGTCAGATGGGTAGCCCATGAGAACTGCATACAGCCCTAGAATTTTTCCAGTTGGGATAGGATGGGATTTTCTAATTTCTTGGAACTCATATCTCATTCTTTCCCATTCTAGGAGCTTTACCCACGCTTTACAAACATCTAAATGTTGTTCATTTGGAAGAAAAGGCCTAAACGTGAAGCCATGAGGTCTACCTAGGCATAGCTCCATCCAAACTTCTTGTTCTAGCCCTAGTCCTAACTAGGAGCTTCCTTTCTGGACAGGAAGTTAGACTGAGCTAGCTAAGCTTTAAACCTTCTAGTCTAGGCATCTTCTCCCAAGTGAGACACATATAGGTGTCGGTAAGGTATTTGTCAATTGGGTAGAACTCCAATAGACAAGTATGAGATATGCAATCCAAGAGATCAGAAAGTCCATTTCATGTCTCCCACCTCCTACTGTACAGTAAAAACTGAACACCTTTTGTAACATAGCCATACTGTTCTTCTGATGTCTTCCTGTAGTTGTTGCTCCAAAGTACTCTTATTCCACTATCCTGAGCTGGGGCTTATCTTCCTAGGTTCCCTGGGATGACTTGCGTTATCTGTTTGGTGAGATCATGTATGGGGGACATATCACTGATGACTGGGACCGGAGACTGTGCCGGACCTACCTGGCTGAGTATATCCGAATGGAGATGTTAGAAGGAGAAATGCTTCTGGCACCAGGATTTCTTATACCACCAAATACAGACTATAAGGTGAGAACGATTGGATGTGACTTCCCAAAACAAACTGGGCTGACATTCCAGGTAGGGGAGGAGAGGACTGCCACTTGTAACCCATGCGGCACAGGAGAGACAACATCGAAATGCCAAGAAAAGGAAACAGCTACAAGTACTGTAGTTGTATGCCAACACACTGAGGATTTTGAAAGGTAATTCAGAGGCAGGATGGGACCTCACCTAATGTTTTCAGGAAAAAAATATTACAATTATGGGGAAGCTGGATAGAGGCCCACAGAGAAACACCAGGTTGGTCAAGGGGATTGGTCTTGTTAAAATATATAGTAATCTGGAAGGTGATGTGACAGTAAAGCTTAGAGTAACTTGCCCTGCAGCAGCTGTTAATACCTACTACGATTCCATGTTTTATAGGGATATCATGAATACATCGATGAAAATCTCCCACCAGAGAGTCCTTACCTGTACGGGCTTCATCCTAATGCTGAGATAGGCTTCCTCACTGTCACCTCAGAGAAACTTTTCCGTACTGTGCTGGAAATGCAACCCAAAGAGTCAGATGCAGGAGGAGGAACTGGAGTATCTCGAGAGGAAAAGGTAGGAAAACATACTTGTTTCCTTCAGCACTGGATCTCTAGTACCTATGACTGTCTAAATTTAATTTGTGCTGCTTGGTTATTTTTATTGACTAATAGATTTTAGGCTTACAGAGCTGAACTTCTGCTCCCAAAACTGCTGGCCGTTTTATTCTTTCAGTTGTGTTGGATTTTCTTGGGTCTTGGGAAATACTGAATAAGGTAGATGCTGAAGTCTGACCACCACCAATGTAGTACATAGTCTTCTAGTGGTTTGTTAACTTTGCTTACACTGATTTTTATGGTGAAGGGCTGACAGGCAAACCTTGTTTGGCCTTCTCTGCAATAGGTAAAAGCTGTGCTAGATGAGATTCTGGAACGGCTTCCAGAGCCCTTTAATATGGTGGAAATCATGGCAAAGGCAGCTGAAAAAACCCCTTACGTGGTAGTCGCCTTCCAGGAATGTGAACGAATGAATATCCTGACCAGTGAAATTAGGCGTTCTCTGAAAGAATTAAATTTGGGATTGAAGGTAAGAGTATATTGTATGTTTTTACTACTTCAAGACCAGAGTTATTAATCTGTCAACCAATCTGATTAAGCATGGTATCATAAACAGCCATGAGAAAAGTATAACATGCTTTCTCAGTCCCAGTGATTGCCAACCAGGTTATCGACTTTTCAGTTTTCAATACTCCCCGTTACACATAAGTGAAGAGCACTTTAAATTGGTAATTTCCAATAAGGGTAAGCTGTGCTAGTCTGTTGCAACAAAAACAAAATCTAAAAGATAGTTGTTGTAGGTTTTTCAGGCTGTTTGGCCGTATTCTGAAGGTTGTTCTTCTTAATGTTTCACTAGTCTCTGTGGCCGGCACCTTCAGAGGACACGAGTTAGAATTCTGTCTGTGTTTTGCTGTAGTGTGTGGGATAGTGGGATAGACTCAACTATCCCACACACTACAGCAGAACACAGACAGAATTCTAACTCGTGTCCTCTGAAGGTGCCGGCCACAGAGACTGGCGAAACATTAGGAAGGAAAACCTCCAGAATACAGCCAAACATCCCAAAAAACCTACAACTATTGGATCCCAGCCATGAAAGCCTTCGAGAACACAAAATTTAAAAGACTTAAGGTTTATTTGGCAGATTTGGTGACTCCAGTCGACTCCTTCAAATGCATCTGAAGAAATGGGCTGCGGTCCATGAAACTGTATGCCAAATACCACTGTGTAGTCTTTAAGGTGCCATGAGACTCTGTCAAACTGGCAGTGGCGCCTTTTTCCAGTCAGACTGCATATTCAGCAGAGTCTACATCTATGGGCACATGGGAACTGAAGGAGATGGCCCAAAGGTGCACAACTTGCACAATTTTCCATTGTATTCATTGGCAGGTTCTTGATTTCAGTACAGAGAATATTCATTGCCCCGGGATTCTTTCAGGCTGTTAGTTAATCGTGGTATATTATTAGCACAACATTCCAACAGATGCTTATCAAGGCTGCAGCAAGCTGGCAAAAAGTGGGTGTTGAAGGAGGGGCGAGAGAATGGTGTTGCTTCAAGCTTTGGAGTTTCTCTTAAAACAACCCTTAGAACTCTGTGCTGCCTCTCAGAAGCAGGAAGTGTACTGATGCTGAAGAGAAGGTAACTGGTTGCTTTGGGAAATGCCCTTACTCCAAAAGCTTGCCTTGCTGCTTAAAACCTACAAGAAACTATGAAAATCCCATAAAGCAACTCATAGGAAGTGGACACAGCAGTGAAATCATGACAGCAGAAGAATGCTAATCTAGTAGAGAATTCAAAATAGTTTTTTAAAGTATTGTATGCTGTGCTGTTGTTAATCACCCATACCATAATTATACACTCACCTAACATCAACATTGGCAATTACAGCACTAGCTGGGAGGGTGAATCTCATTTATTCATCAAAGCAAGTGCTGGGAAATTTAAATTGCTACAGTAACAGCATTACCTAGAGGGAAGATGCCTGGAAACTCCACTGTAAATGAGGAACAACAGTACATTTACTGCATAACGTATAATCTCAAAAGGAACTTAATTAATGCCAGAGCATTCAGATAACCAGAACCTCCTCTCAAGAGGGGTGCCATTTTCATAAGATCCTACAGAAAGTTATGGACTAGACAACCATAAGCAGTTTATGATAGAGGAAACTAATTTTATTTTATTTTCCCCAAAGGGAGAGTTGACAATTACAACAGATATGGAAGAATTATCCAATGCTCTGTACTATGATAATGTGCCTGATTCCTGGACAAACCGTGCCTACCCATCATTGCTTAGTTTAGCAGCATGGTATGCTGACCTACTCCTTCGGATCAGGGTGAGGAAAACTGTTGTCTTGGTTAAAACTTTTCACAGACAGCAGAACTGGTCCTGCCAAAGTGAGGCACTTGCCTGAGGCAACAGAGTTCTGGGTAGAGAAAAACTCCCTTTCCTAACCCTGCCCTTGGCAGAGATTGCTACTGGAGAACAGTACTGGTGCTGCCGCCCTCCTGCAAGACAAAGACAAGAGGACATGATGATGATACCTGGGTGGCAGCAATGACAACAGGAACAGTGAGAACAACAATGACTGACCTACCCCAGGAACAGAAAACAGGAGAGAAGCCTGCAATGGCTACACAGCACAGGTCCTGCCAGAGGCTAGCTCTACACAAAGCCCTCGGAGACATAAACCAGTGCCTGGCTCTTCAAGAATTTGCCAGCTCTGTAGATACCTGGCGTCTGGCAGGAAACACGTATTGTGCAGCTGTTTCTGCTCTCCTGAGTTACATATTCACCATCACTGTACTTCTCTTTCTGCTTTTGGGGTGGGATGTTTTACTCCTGCCATGGGGCACTATGATCTCCTTGCTCCCGGCCCTCCCTTCAGTCTTTGTCTGGAGGGCACCAGGAGTGGGGAAAGGCAGCCCTGCCTTCTCTCCTCTGTCATTGTTCTGCATGAGCGTGGAGGAGGGCTCCTGCCATTGCTACTGTCTCCTCCTGTGGGGCTGCAAAAATGTCTCCCCCCCGCAAGAGGGAACAAGGAGCTGTTTGTGTTGTACCACATGCAAGTGTATGCATCCACGTGTGCAAATACACACACAAAGTGAGGTATAGGAAATGGAGGGTGGCACCTTGTCTCAGACAATGGGAGAACTTGGGCTACCTCCGCAAGAAGCCATTCTTACCTGCAGATTTTTAACTACTGGACTTGGTATGGAATTTTCCATCCAGCCTTCTCATGAAAGGTGAAAACTGTCACTTAAGCACTGACCTCTTTTATTTAATGAATGAATTCTGTCATTATTTAATGACAGAATAGCCACTGTCATGGCTAGCTGATTTTGTATAAGAACTTTACTATGGTATTTGCATGTGGAGTCATCTGTGTGCCATTTAAAAATACTACACGGTAAAGATCTAGATAATTTTAAAACTGCAGAGCTGGAAGGGACCCTGTGGGTCATTGAGTCCAGGCACAGAGGGGTGTCCAATTCCCAGCCTAGATACTTGGGGCAGCTTTCTTTTTCAGCAGGAAATTAGGCCTGAGCTCAGCCTCTCCTGGGCCTTGAGGCCTTCCAGGTGAGCACAATCCAGGTGTCCACCTGGCAGATGGAACTCCCGGAATGGAGAATTCTTTGAAAGAAACTCCCAACACACACACATGCCTATTTGTGAACATATAGTTCAAAGTACAGGATCAAATATGCAATCAAGAAACCCCCAACATACACACATGCCTATTTATGAACATACAGTTCAAAGTACAGGATCAAATATGCAATCTGTTCCCACTGTTTCCATTTCAGGAGCTGGAGGCCTGGACAACTGATTTTGCCCTACCCACAACTGTGTGGCTAGCTGGTTTCTTCAATCCTCAGTCTTTCCTCACAGCTATTATGCAATCCATGGCCAGGAAAAATGAGTGGCCCCTTGACCGAATGTGCCTCTCAGTGGAAGTTACAAAGAAAAATCGGGAGGATATGACCGCTCCACCTCGAGAGGGCTCCTATGTCCATGGACTCTTTATGGAAGGTAAAGACAATCTTGCTTCTTATTTTAGACAAGTGGAGGGCAATTTTCACTCCTTGGTATAGTTTCATGCATTCCTCCCTTTACTTCTGAAAATTTTCTGTAAGCAATCCGTTCAGATATCTGGAAAGAGTCTAAATCCTTCCTTAAAAAGTGATATGACAAGTATTTTCAAATATTTGAAAGTCTCTCACATGGGAAATCTTTAGACAAGTGGAAGGCAATTTTCACTCCTTGGTGTAGTTTCATCCATTCCTCCCTTTACTTCTGAAAATTATCTGTAAGCAATCCATTCAGATATCTGGAAAGAGTCTGAATCCTTCCTAAAAAGTGATATGACAAGTATTTTGAAATATTTGAAAGTCTCTCACATGGGAAATGGAGCTAGTTTGTTTTCTGCAGCTCCAAAGTGGAGGACTGAACAAATGAATCCAAATTACAGGAAAGGAAATTTGGTTACCTATTAGGAAAGTAAATTTACTTCCTGAAAATAAGAGGTTTTTGACATCAGAATGGACTACCTTGGAGTGAAGCAGACTCACCATGCACTGGAGGCCATTAAAAATTACTTGCCCACCTGGTTTAGCTGTGGATATGCTACTTTGGCAGGGAGTTGGCCTCTATGATCCTCGAGGTTTAATTCAGTTCCACAGTTCTATGGCTCTCTGAAAGAATGATTTGGTGTTGCCCAGCTGGCCACTTTGGAGGAAGGGAGAGAGGCTCCAGCCCCCTCCACCGCTGGCATGTATCCTCCAAGAGAACAAGTTCATCATCCCTGCTGTAGACAAGGGATATTATTTGGCAGCAGGGGGCTTGGCATTTCCTATTAGTAAGCATAGAATCTTCTGCACAAGTTCGCATTCTAGCTAGCTAGGTGTTACCAAACTAGGGTTCCTTTGTTCAGAAACTAGTCGAGATGGTTTCCACCCAAAAGTATTTTCAAGCTCAATTGTACAGTTGTACTTTCATAAACACAAATACAGGATGCAAAAAGAAAGTAGAGTTTGGCTAGCTGCCTTGTTTATTTCATAGTATTAGAGCATGTCAGCAGGGGGCAGCAAATGTCCATTTTATTATCATCACACTGATGGGAATTTTTGAACAGTAAGAGAAGTAACTGCATAATTACCTTTATTAAAATACTCCTAGTTTTTAGGTTGGGAATGTAATATCTACAATGACCTTTTCCCTAGTAGCTATTATTTTAAGGAGAGCTGGAAGGGACTCTATCGGTCAACTAAGCAGGGCTGGGCTTTATATTGCTAAGGCTAAATAAATTAACTGGTGGGTGGAAGAGTACATGGCTTTCCACAGCAAAACAACACTGCTGTAGGCTCAGGGCGCAGTCAGAATCCATCTTCTAAAATCCTATCTGTAACACTTGCAAAATGCATGCACAAATGGCTAGAAGTGGCCTCAAGTGGCACCACAGGCCCACCCAAGCCAAGGCATGTAGCCTTTATCCATGCTGCTAATGACAGGTCGGTTGACGTGCTGGGCTCCCTCAGGGCTCGCTACCAGGGAAGCCCTTCTTTAGTTGATCAGGAGAGTTCCGTCTTTTCTCACTGCAGGTGCGCGGTGGGATATTCAGACTGGGGTCATCAGCGATGCACGCCTGAAGGAGCTGACCCCCTCGATGCCAGTCATCTTCATCAAAGCCATCCCTGTGGATCGCATGGACACCAAGAACATGTATGAGTGCCCTGTCTATAAGACACGTACACGAGGCCCCACCTATGTTTGGACCTTCAACCTCAAGACAAAAGAGAAACCAGCTAAGTGGATTCTTGCCGGAGTTGCCCTGCTCTTGCAAGTTTAAAGTGCAAGTGAACAAAACTCTACATCCTGCCCCCCCCAATCCCCTTTCTGCAAAGCCAGAGAGTTGTTCACAAGTGGCTAATAAAAAATACATTTGTTGGAGCCATGTCTGCTGTGACATTACGCTCAGGTACAGCAGCCTGATACCAATGATAGGAAACATATCCTGTCAGCATGGGCTCCGCCCTAGCACAATGGAATGAACACACACATTTTAATACAGTGGTCTGCATGGAACAACGGCAGTCTGCATTTATTCCAGTGTGTTGCTCCCCAACCCTGCATTCCTTAAAGCTAGCCATTAAGAGCAGACATTATTCCCAGTGTCATTATGCAGTGCCACAAAAACAAGGTTTCTGATCTGCTCTATTTAATCAGACAGCTGGCAGAGCATTTTTATGCCACTGCAATTTAGGTGTAAGCAACCCCAATAGTCTCAAGTAATGCAAAACGTAGTAGCCAGAGATTTATTTCTACTAGCCAGCAAAAACATAGTACTGTACAAGTCGTTCTGAAATACAGTAAGAACAGCCTGCTTTTCCCATGGAACTATGGAGTGGGACTAAGAGCAGTGAATATTGTTCTCTGTAATTCTGAGTCCGTTTCTGAAAATTAAAAATGGTTTCCACATTCCTGACACGCTCACAGCACCATAAACACCTGTGTTCAAAACCCAGAGTTTAAAAGCTCAAAGGTGGATGTTCAGCACCCCTGTTCTTCCCCATGGCGCCCCCAAAACCAGAAAGATAATTTAGACTGCCTGGTACAAATTTTACCTTTTAGCACCAATTACTTGAAGGAAAGAAACCACGTCAGCGTTGTGGAAATATTTCCACCCCACCCTTGCCAGCCCCGCATCTTCCTCTTCCAGTAAAAATGACACTTTATAGTCGTATGAAACTGAACATGAAGTTTGGCTTCCCAGATTGGGTGCAGAAAAGCTGATGAATCAGGACCTGTCATTTGATACCGTATTTAAAAAGGGTGTAAATCCCTCTTCAGTCTCATGCACAATGAATGATTCCCCATGTGAGCCCAATAGCTCTGGCTCTGTCCCTGTTGGGGAGTGTTGACCTCTTTTCAGAGCAAGCATGTGCCTACACACCTGCAGCTCACCTGTGGACTGGAGCAGAGAGGTGGGCGATGCCCTAGAGGGTGAGCACAGGGATCGACAGATTTAAGGAGGAGACCAAGTCAAAAGAAGAGGACTGCTGGACCGATACACTGGAGGTGCTGGAAGCCAAGGAAGTGACCATGATAGCAGGGTGTAAGACGACCAGCTGCTGTGACCTGGACTCTGGCCAGTTTTGTTCTACTTCTTAATTCTTTTGGCCAAGTACTCTCGTCCCTTCCACCTGCCTGCTGCTTACCCTCAACTGGGCCACTTTTTCAGATGGGCATCTACATTCTAGATTCAGAAACAGCGTACAATACATATTTATTTTGAATCATTTATAGATAACGACAGCATCTGAATTGCCTTTTCTCACACCAATTTAGGTAGAAGTATATTTCAGCATCATTGGTACACATTCTAGTGTGTTTTACTGAGAAATGGTTTAAGTGTCCTGAAAGTGAGTGTTGGACTTTTTCCCAAAGTACACTTTTTCCATTTTTTGTGAGAGAAGTGGCAGTTCAAATGGACAGTCATACCTGATTTGAAGTACACGTATTTAGTTTCTGTAACAAAACTAGCTCAATGTTCTTGACAGCCGGAACATTCTCCAGGTGACCTCCAATAAAGCTGGCCAATTGTGACCCTTTTACATTATACAAAACTTTTAAACTTTTACCAGATGAACCTGATAAACTGATACAACGGAATAAGACCTCACAGCAATATTGGCATTCTAATGTAGTCTATCAGGCACAAAGATTTGTGCTTGAAAAGAATACTGCTTTAAAACGAAAGACGGTTCAATTAAATCAACTCAGGCTTATTTCCTGTTGACAGTGCTTGCCTAGGGGATGGGTGTAAAAACAAGGACATACAAAACTCACCCAAAGGACCAGCCTTTCTTTCTTTCTTTTCTTTTCTAGAAGAAATTCTTAATCAGAGGTGTCAACATCTTTACCCACAGCTTGATATAGCGATTGGGCTGCTCAAAAGTCAAGGCAGACACAGTGCCAGAACGCAAGTAGAGTTGTTTCTGCTCCTATACAGAAGAAAGAAATGCAGGATAGATGCATACTTTTATTTTCATTATGCTCAGCAAAAGGCACCCCTAATACTGCCATCCCAACTCAAGAATCACTGATTCCTCCCCAACAGTCTGCCATGGATCAAAAAGAGTTAAGGTCAACGTGCTGTTCAAGGTGCTGTCAGGATCCCCTATCCATCCATCCAACCAACCAACCACATCCCCCTCTCCAACAGTAAGCTTGGATATGAACTTCAGGTTGGTATGCCAAGCCTTTCCAAAGTCTGGCATCTCAGAAGCCAGCTGAGCCAAACCCAAGTAATTACACAGCCAGAGCCCAACCCACACATGTATACAAACACACTGAGGAAGAAAGCATTGCAAGATTTGGCCCTGCAGTTACTCTTTTTCCCGTAACACAGCCAAACCCTGAGCTATAATTGTCCAAATAGGAAGCCTGACTTTAATCTCCAGAGACTGGACTGTTCATTTCTCTTTAGAAAAAAACCCCCTCCTAAGCTGCAGTTTAAAATGAATGTGCCGTCAAGGTTTCAATGCAGTTCCCAGAAACACTAAGCTTCTTCGTAGTATAAACAATTCAGCTGGAGGGAAAATGAGAGTCTCTGTTACAATGGTTACAGCACATGGTCTTTGGAGGCAATGCTTATGTCCTAAGGATATTTTTTTGGTCTGAATTAACATGGTACACTGCAGTACCTGCAGCATCCTGACACGATCACAGGGATTTCTACGCATCTTCCCCAACCGCCCAAGCTCAGTTTCTTACCAGCACCCATAATGTCATGATTGCCACCCACAGTACAACCTCCCCATGCCCAGCTGAAGCCTGTTAAGTTTAGACTATGATGGCTAAATTCTCATTCACCTCGTTTTTTTCTATTCCTATTATACCCTAGATACCACATGCACTTAGCAAAGTTGGTTTTTAAACATAAAAAATATACCAAAGTAATCATGGCTTCTCTCACAACCATCCCCTTAAAAATGGTTCCAGTTCATGTCCAGTGAAATGAGAACTTATCACTTTGTAAAACAAGTAAGAGCAGTGGTCGACAGAGGCTCCTAGGCTGTTGTCTGAACTCTTAAGAGCATTTCTAAAGGTTCCAATTATGTCAGAAAAAACATAGTAATCTCTGAGAGATCATGATATAAACATTAAAAAATGAAAAACAAACAAAACAAAACCCAGTGCATCCTCCAGCAAATTGAGAAGAACTATGTGAGAGATAAAGTCTTATTTCACATTGAGTAAGGGTTTGAAGATTGCACGTGGTGGCAGGAACTATTATGAAAGCAATTCAAGTCACATCTTGCCTTCTTTGAAGCCTTGCTTCTTCTCTCAAGCTGTCTGCCCTCACCCAGAAAATTCAAATGGGTGGGACTGGGTTCCAGGTTTTGAAGACACATCACTTCCATGATTTCACTTCTGCAAAGTCAGTATTGAAGCTGACCCCTCCTGGTTCTTTCATACATGCAGACAATGTGGGACAGGGGAAAGTTCAGTGGTAGCCACAGAACTGGTTAGCTGGTAAGCCAAACCAATGTGTGGACTCCAAGAATTCATATATGATTTCTGCAGTTAGGCTGCATAAAAACCTCAAGCAATGTTATTGCCAAGTCTTAACACTCTGAAATGATCATTTCAATAGATGTTTGGCTTTCAATTCTCGTACTAGGGATCTCAAGGGAAATCTAAGCTGATCATAAATTTCAAATAGAAAAAACAAAAATAGTATTTGTGTGATTCTTAACACACACATTTATTTCAGTTCAGATCTCAGTTCTACTACAGCTACGTTGAGATGGAATTGTGATGAAAAGACAATAATCTACATGCATTTGCAAATCCAATGTAGGAAGGACTGTTCAAAAATCAGGTCAGAACAATCAAGTGAATGGATGATCAAGGCAATGAAAGCAGAAAGCATTGAATTAATTTAAAAAAATTAAAATAAGTCCAAAGCAACTATCCTTTTGTTAACCTTAAAAAACCCAGATGTCTACACTAAAACCCACAAGAGTACATAAAAAGGAAATACTAGTGTTCCTTCGTGGAAAGAATGAGACTACAGCCCTCCCTCAAACTGTGGGAAGGAATAAACCAGAAAGAATCTTGGAATTTTACTCCTAGTTATAAAATTCAACAGGCTTATGGGTTATCTAAACACTACAAGCTACTGAAAACAGTTTTAGAGAATGTTCTTGCAAAGTCTGTGGGTTGCTTTGCTTCCCATGTGTGTCATTCCTAGGATGGAGAGAACCAGAAAAAGAAAGCATGTGGGTACAGTAGAGATGGGCATGAACCGCCAGTTTGTGTTTCAGCTGAATAGGTGTTCAGCACTTCCCAGCCCTGCTTCTTCTGGTGGGCACCCACACACTCAGAGGCTGCATCCCCACTCATCTCCTACAAATGTATCCTCTGAGCGGGCAACCACTGGAGGTAGGGCTGGGAAGTGCTGAACAACTGTTCTGCCAAAAAATGAACTGGCACAAACCACCAAACCCTGAGCTATAATTGTCCAAATAGGAAGCCCGTGCCCATCTCTAGGGTACATTAGAGCCAGAGATCCTCTACTTTCAAGAATATTTTCTCCTTATCCTTCAGGAACAGGCTACTCTTAGTGAGTTCTGATCCATTCAGGCTTATAGCAGCTACGTGAAATTATACATTATTATTGCAGGAACTTCCGACCAGAACTCATGCAAATTTCCTCCATTCTGAATTACTGAAGTTTTAAAGCAAACTTTCCTTTCAGATTTGCTCAGTCCCATTAATAAAGCACATGCTCATAAGATCAGTCCATGACTTACATACCTGATCGAACTGCTGCTGCAGGGCTTTGTTTTCTGTCACTATCGCCACTTGTGCTTCCAGGTCCCGATGAACTGACCTGTACCCAAAATTAGGAGAGCCAATCAGAGTTAAGCAGGGCAGACTGCTTCCTGCCAGGTACAACCAGAGGCCTACAAAGACACATGAAGGGGGGAAAAAGGAAATGACTATGGAATTGGTAAAAGTCTCAAACAATACTTTGTTCTTGAAAGGAAAAACAACAAAACAGTTTGTTAGGCTTACCAGCAGTGTAAATGGGTCAGACTGCTAAGTAAGCAACCAGGAAATAGGAATGCTTCCCTCCAGAAAATGTTACAAAACTCAGTGGAATATCTAACATTTAAGTGACAGCACATACAGAAGCTGACCCTGCTCATCTGGTACAATAAAATCCTTACAATGTAGGGTATATCAGCTCTACTGCAACACACATTTCACACTATAAATAACTACATTGGTGACCTGGCCAGAATGTTACAATATTAAGCACATTCAAAAACGCATCAATAAAGCCAAGATTGGCAAGATTTCTTAGGACTTTGTTGATAAAGAACACAACTTACGATCAGTATTTATTCAAAATGTGCAGGCCAAAGTTATCATCTACCCCTCCCAAACTGTTCTTACTCTTGCAGGCATAGATGAGGTGAAGATGAAGAACAATTCCTTCAATAAGGAAAAGGGTTTACCCTTCAGAAGCTATACTGGTCTATCAAAAGGACAGTGAAGGGGTAAAGCTCTTGTATCCATACCCATAAAATGTAAGGTCTTTTAGAGCAAAAGTAAACTGCCTGAGCAGTTTCAGCACACCCAAGGCAGTAACACCTGCCTGTCCAGTTGGTCCCATCCTTTGATCTGGAATAGAAAGTCATCCCAATGGAAATTACAAGATATACTGGCAATAATTATAACATTACACTTATCTTCTTAAAGCGTTTGTTCAGGCTAATGGGAGAGTTAATGTTTTCCAGAGGAGCAGGGGAGGAAAGCAACTATAGCAGGCTCTTCAGTTGAAGAGTCAGAAACCAAGACTTCCAACATCTCTAAAGTATTGTGTCAAATGCAAGCTACCATACTTTTCACTCTTGTCATAGCTGGGAAGTGGTTCGCATTTATCCTTTTTTCTGAATGTACCTCAAATGACCAAAGCTAGCATGATTACATGCACAGCATCCGTATTTTTATGACTGTTTACACCCAAAACAAGCACTACAATTGTTCTGCCATGAACAGGGCAGGTGAGTTCATTGGTGGTAGATCACACCAAGATCAGAGCCCTAGTTTGGTTCAAGGGGCATCACCAAAAATATGTCATCAAAAAGGAAAGAACAATCTGAAAAATATTTGTAAGGCAAATTGTGTGTAACTATTTCCCTCACATTAACATTAGACTAAAGGTCTTCCTTGTTAGTCACCTTGAGTTCTAATTTCTACCTGAAAGGAAGAGGAGCTATGGCAGAGAAAATAGTTCCTTCTTAAAATGGGAAGTTTCCCAGTTTTTAAAAAAGGAGCACCACCCAAAATAATCTGAGAAAGAAAATGGCTTACTCCTTTACTTAGGTCTGAAGTTCCAGAATACACCCAGGCAGTTGCCTCTGCACATATATACTACACCCATCAGTTCAATTACAGTGTAAGCCTGATAATGCACTGTCTCTCCATCTTCTTATTTCTTTCCTTTCCTAAACAGAACCATTAGAAAGCCACTAATGTGGGGAAAACCCTGCGAAAACTCTGTAACAACACACTTTCCATCCTTCCTACCACATATTTCCCTGACTTTTTTATTTTTTATCACCTCTGTAGTAATTATTATGAAGTATACATGTTAAGCTATCTGGATAGCTCAGTAAGTTAGGTATCTGGCTGCAGAGACAGAGGTTGGGAGTTTAATTCTCTACCATGCCTCCTGAGCAAGGTTTCCTGACTCTACCTCCCCTATGCGTAGCTCTCCTCCTCCACACAGCGATCACATTTGGTTCCAGTCATGACGGAACCCTGCATGAGAGGCGGGTGGAGGCATGTGCGGGCACGGGGTGACATTGCATGAGAGAGAGGCAGAGCCCTGCCCTGCAGGGCTGAAAATTAGAGGGAATATGTTGCTCCTGAGAGAAGAGCCAGTCTGTGTGGTCCTGGGCAAGCTTCTTCCCCGGGGAAGAAAGGAATGGTAACGCACTTTGGAGAATTCACTAGCTAGAAAACCCTGGAGAGGGTCACCATAAGCAAGAACTGACCTGACTGTGCCAGTGTGCTCACTAAATTCTAGCAGATGAGGCAACAGGAGATTAAGCAACTAAATATTCAAACAGCTGACAGAAAGTGGGAGGCACCATTGTCAAAACGGCTTGCAGAACCAAGTTTAGAGGTATTTGTTGCTAAGATAAGTCAGGGCTAATTATACTGTTCCATCTTTTGTCCTAAACTGAACAGCCATCATTAGTACGCCTTTGGCTAAAAGGTTACTTAATGTCACTTTAAAGAAAGATTTCCAAGTTCTTTGCCAACCTGGTGTAATTAGGGATGGGCTTTCTGTGTTCAAACAAAAGACCCAAAACATAAAAGACATTCTCTTTTGTGGTATGTTGGCGATTGATAAGCCATATACTGTAACCACAAATGATTCATGTTTATGAAAGGGGGTATGCAAAATTTTAAGTCTTTCTTATAACCTTTGGTGACTTTTCACTCTGTCTCAAATGGCCTGAGAACTTTTTTATCCCATAATTTTATGAGGTTTGTCAACAAGAACTAATCAGAACATCTGGGGGCCTGGGAATTTTGAATCCATAAAAAGGCCTGGAATCCAGTGGGAAGCGCTCTTTGATTCAGTTCTTCCTTGCAGGATTACCGTATACGGAGTTCCCGGTGCCATTCATCTTGGATTGTTGCCAGCCTACCTATCTTCTGTGCCTCCATTTTGGACACTTCGGTCATTTTCCTCGGTTTTTTGGGAAATATTTCCCCCTCTATTCATATTATTTTTGCTGCTGTCAGACAACCCACCTATGCCAACACACTTTTCTAAGATTATTTTTTTAATTTTTCAGCTATTTTTCTTCTCTGTGTTGTGGGGAAAGTACTTTTCCTGACTGATTGATTGATTGGGGGGAGCAGGACAAGAATGTGATACTGTGTTTCCCCAAAAATAAGACAGGGTCTTATATTAATTTTTGCTCCAAAAATGCAGTAGGGCTTATTTTTAGGGGATGTTTTATTTTTTTCCATGTACGACAATCTACATTTGTTCAAATACAGTAATGTCATCTTCTTCTGGTTACTGTGGGGTTTCACTTAACTCCGGCTTATTTTGGAGGTAGGGCTTATATTACGAGCATCATGAAAAATCATACTAGGGCTTATTTTCAGGTTAGGTCTTATTTTTGGGGAAACAGGGTAATATAAATTAGTACCTGCATAGGTCTGGTTTTTCTTTTTCGTGTACTGTTGCCTGCTTTTGGAGCAGACTGATTCTCTGTTTCCATGCCTCTTGCTTTTCTGGAATATTTTTAAAGGGTTCTTAGGGCTTCTGGAGCATCAGAAAACATAAGCAGGGAAACATGAACAGGAAACTCAAAGGAGGTTGGTAGACAAAAAAAAGCAAACATTTTTCCCCATCTTGCACTATATTACTACAGTACTGTTGTTTTTTATTTTATTATATTGTTTTTATTCTATCTATTATTGTTAGCCACCCAGAATAGACTTCAGTCTAGATGGGCAGGGTATAAATTTAATAAATAAATAAATTAAATTAAATGAAACCACCCATCCAAACACTTATATAAAAGAAATACAAATATTTTCATTGTGCATATGCCTAGTTTAAATAATTAACTGCCTTGAATACTGGCTTTATTTCCCAAGTTACCATGTCCATGTTTGAATAATAATGCCTAGTCTGCATCCCTCTGTGAAAGCAAACAAAAACCTTTCATCAGTAATTCCACACATGTATTTCTATTTCTACTTTTTTACACAATAATCTATAGTTATTTTGACACAGCCGTAACAGATGCTTGTTTTCCAAGCTATAAACGGTTCTTTTAATGCAAAGTGCCACAGCTACTTTTCATTACTATACCCCTCATGATTTTTGTAGCCAAGAATGCCCAACTCCTTGAGTTCCAGAGAACAATACACAACTTAGCCATGGAAAACAGAAGGGGAGGAATGCCTGCAAACATGCTGGAATTTGACTCCACAAATCACATTATTTTTTTTCTCCTACACACTGTACAGTGTTGACTTCTGACTATGCCAGGCTAGACTTGGCTCATGTCATGACTTGCCTCTTCAAGAGACAGCATTTAATCTATGACCCAGCACTCCTTCAATTCCAATAAGGAAACTCTGAGTTGCAAGTGATATCCTGCACCCGAATTTCATAACTGGTAGGAAAACATTTTTGTCTCTGATTCAGAGGGTACTTATGACCTCAAAATGAAGCAATATGTTCTCATCTCCTTACACTCATAGCACCTCTTCAGGAGAGTGGTTCTGAAATAAAAATCTCTAACAATGCCCTGCTCAACCAGAAGGCAGAAGAACCTACATTACTACAACTCAGAAATGATCCAAGAGATTGCACACTTTGGGGAGTTTTTCACATGTGAAACTGTTGCTCAGCTAACATAAACAAGTAACATGCCCTAAGGATTAGCCTCTGTACAAGACAGCTGGCCAGTGTAACACCAGGAAAAAGGAATCTAAGAGGGATCTTGAAAAGTGTAAGTCAATTAACCTGGCATCCACTCTAGGTGAAACTGGCAGAAAGGTAATTGATGTGTTATTAGTTCTTTAGAGTGCTTTCAATAGTGTTGATAACATGTGTGCAATGTGATCTGGACTTCCAAATGACATTAAATTGTTTAGGATAGTTAACGTGGAACACAAAAACTTCAAAAGAACCGTCGTTCCAAACTGTAGAAACGGGCATTAAAACAGCAAATATGGTTCTTTGTAAGCAAACTGATGGTAATGCACATACCATGGGGATTCTAACTTCATATATAGGATCTGGGCTGGTGGCGACTGACCAAGAAAGGGATCTTGGCAATGTACCCTCTAATTTTCAGGCCTGCTGGGTGGGGCTCCGCTTCTCTTGCATGCAATTCCACCACCTTGCACAACAGGGGTCCGTCGTGACTGGAACCAAAGGGGTTGAACGTGATCACTGCACGGAGGAGAAAGAGAGCTGCATTGAGGGAGGCAGAGTTGTGCACATGCCCAGCTTAGAGGGAACCTTGGATTGTGGCATTGTGTTGGACTGCTAGATAAAAATAAAGATCACTGTGCAGCTGTTATAAAAAAGGATAAATCTCATTTCATAATGAGAGCTGGAATCAACAGAACTGCCAATATCATACGGTCTTTATGGAAAACCGATGACATGGCCCACCATCTATATATGGTGTTTGATCTGGTTATTGCACATGAATTAAGCGTACTGTAAAAAGGGGAAGAGCAGAGCAAATAAAATGATCAAGGGGACGGAGCAACTGATCTGTGAGGAAAGGTTAGAGTATTTGTAGCTGTTTAGCTTAGCAAAAGAGGCAGATGAGAGATTTGTCTGAAATTATGTATGGTGTGGTAGGAATAGGAAAAATGCTTCCTTCCATCTCTCACAATAGCAGAAATATGTTGTTATGATAGAATGCGTCCACTGATGCTTAACAGTGGGACATTCAGAACTGATTTTAAAAAATACTTATGGGTCATAGGCAGTCCTTAGGGATGACAAAGATTACCACATTCAGTATAGTATATGTCTACCTACTGATGCTACCTACTATACATCTGACCACAAAAGGTTGTCCCAAATATTTTTTTCTCAAATGCTGTATCTGGCAAAATCTAAAGAAACAAAAAAGACAAAAACATGTGGCACCTTAAAGACTAGCTATAATATTTTGATGTAAGCTTTCGTAGACACATCCACTTCATCAGACATTAAGAAATATGTTCCTTCTGCTGAAGAACTAGCTAGTGTAGATAACAGGCACCTGGTTCTTGGTGCTGATGCTTTCCTACATTTATTCTGCTTCTTCTACTCACAAAGGGAGATGTGGAACAACTTCCTGCTACCAAGGAGAACATATGCAAGTTTAGCATACTATCTTGAAAGTGTAGCTAGTGGGAGAAATCTTAGAAGGAAGACAAACAGAATTGGTACTATTTCTTATCCATACACCCTCATCCCTTGCTGTTCCTCATGACTGTGTCTGAGTAACTGTGCGTAGAGACATGAATGTGTTTTCTTAAGAGAAAGGGCTTAGTCAGCAGCATGCCCCACACCCAGCCCTCAAGCCTCTTCCCAGAAGCTCAGCAGGAAGGAGGCAGGGAAGATAGCAGTCTTCCCATAATCATTAACAGCTACAAGCCTCAGACAAACAAAAGCAGGGATCCCTGGAGAAGTGCAGCCCATTAGGACATGACCTTTGGGACATGCTCAAGGGAGCTGAGAGACCTGCCCAGCCTGCAGTTCATACTGTAAGTGACAGTCTGGCTCCTCAGTACAATGGAAACCTGACAGAAAGAACTTCAAAATCTCTGGAAGCTGCAATGCGTTTACTATCACCTTGGGAGTTCCCACCAAGTGATAGTGATAAATTGTACTACGCTGCAAAGATTCTCTAAATAAAAAGTTATCCACAAGAGCAGCAAAAGGTAGTCTAAGGTGATAAAGCGGGGGTACTCTTCATTGCAGCCAGGCAGTAGCTTAGCATTAATGTTCTCCTGTAATATAACCATAAGAGTTCGGGACATCAAAACCAACAGTCTTCCAACTACCTTTACAATCAGTGATCCTATGATTTCCACATAAGCAGAACATCCCAGGCAGTGATGAAACTCTTATCTATGACTTCAACAGCCATCTCTTCTCAATGGAGCACCAGTATGTTTCCTTCCTTGTTTCCCCACTCTTCTTTCTTCACAGAAGTTGAGGTATTCAATGTGAATGTAATAGGGAAATGAGGCACTACCCTCCCTGCTGTACCTGACTTCGGTATTCTCTCATGCCCTTGTTGTTCAGTGCAAATGAGAAGTCTGGGTCACTTAAGGGGATGGATTCCTCTCCTCCACTGGACACTGAGTTCTCCATGTTCCCTAAAGCAATGTGGTGGCGAGGGGGATACAGTAATTGAGACCACAGGTCATCAGCTGTCATACCCACATTTCAGTAGAACTGGTCTTCCTATCACTTCCAGCCACTTCCTTGCAGGGAGACAATTTACACAATTTCCTGTTTTCCCAACTGTCTACCCCACTGCAATAGGAAGTGAAGAAAACAATACCAGACCAAATGACAAGGTCAGTAGCGAAAGGGTAACAATCCCTCCACACTTCTTCCCAAATCTAACTTTACAGGGCCTGCCAACTCTTTTTGCAAATTTGTATCCGGTTGCTATGTGTTGCATCACTGATATAGATACGAAGCTGGTAACAGATTTTATATGACTAGAAAGCTTAACTGGAAGTTTAGCCCAATGCTGTTAAAACAAATTAATTACCCACAATATGACACAACACTTTTGTCTAACAATAATAAGACACAAGCTGCTTAAATCACAGTTGCCACACTACTTCTGTGGATTAATCCTCTTAGTTACGGGACTCTGATATATCTCACACACAACAGAAACAACTTGAAAACACTTACCACATCATGACCATGGCCTATGTCTAGTCTTTTTGACACTATCCATAATCTAATCATTTAGGATGAACAAGGGTAGAGCAGTAGAGGTATAACTTATTTAGGTGACAGAATGTCTCTTCTTAAGCAAATGCCATCAGAAGCGTAAATCCAACTGCTATTTCAAACTAGAGCAGGTTCACTGAATCAATTGAAACTTAGTGAGTCAACACTTATATAAGTTCCATTAATCCAATGGGTCTGCTTTTGGAGGAACTAATCACTGGACATAGACCACAGACCAAATATAGTACAACCCAATCTTTTCATTAAGGACTGGACTATCACAATGAATAAGTTCACAAGATTCTGTTTGTATTCAACATTGTTCCTTATACAATGTCTTTCCCTCTACAATGTCTCACCTTTGGCATGGAATGTCCACCCGCTCCTAGAATATTCCTGCAGCTGGACTCTGTCTTGCTGACCTACAGAGCACACCTCGCTGAAGAACTGACGTTCAATGTAAACATAGGCAGCAGGGATGGCACCAGCTAACCCTTTGGCCTCAAAGAACCCATTCACCTCTGGGGAGGCTAAAAGGATCTGGTAATTAGCCCTTGTGCCTAGAATCAGGTCCATATAGGCTTGTGTGAGATTGAAGTAGCCTGTGGTGAGATATATACTGGCACCCAGCTCTGCTTCCATAAGGAGGGTCTGCGTGACAATCTCATCAATTTGAATTCCAAAAGGTTTCATCTGTATTAGTGGATAAATCCATGTGTCTGGTTCTGGTTGCCTATCACCAACGACCTTGGGATCTGCAAACAATGGGATTTCTCCTTCTGTATGGCTCCTGTGGGAAGTCTGAGTGTGGAGCAGTTTTTGTCTTGTCTTTGCAGAGTTGATCACTTCCATCACTCTCCTATTTGCTGCTTCACAATAGGCCACCTTGTCTCCTAAAGGGAAGAATACATTATTTAATCCACAATGACTCTGTGATATATTCCTTGTACAGTTACAGAGACCCAAAGAACACCAATATGAACCCTGCATTCCAAGAATCATGGAAGTTAAATCACCCCAGGATACAAAGAGGAAAGCACATACACAAAAAGAAGCTTATATAGGAAATGGGCTGCTGCTTTCTCTTTTTTTCTAGTTTAGAGAGCCTATTACCCACCTGACATTTTCAGAATTTGCTGCTCAAACACATTGCATAGCATACATCTAAAACAGCATAATTTCACTGTCTAGGTTGGATCTTCCTAACTAAGAAAAATAGCCCTCAAGGCTATTTCCATTAAAAACAGTAGTAGATCTCACAGAAAGTATCTTAACTAGGACTTAACATGAAAATTCAACATCCATCCTATAATGGATGGTTTTATCTGTTCCCTCTTTCAGAACTGATACAAAGATGTGCTCCCTTTCTTCTGTTGTTACAGCCTGTTACTAAAGCAGATGGGATTCAAAGAACTCCTTTTCCAAATCATTTGAACCACACAGAAGAAGATTTCACACAGTCACCACAGAATGACTGCATTATACTCTCAAAATACAAATTCAAGTTGTGGTGATATAGCACGCTACACATATCTGATTAAGTCAGCTTGTGCCCAAAAGTGGAAGTCTCAGGCTGAACTGAACATACTTTGTTCAAGCTGTAGTAGACACCCACTCTTTGAAACATATAAAGTTAAACTGATTCACGCCACTAATTGGGACATATAGGTAAGCAGAAAACAAAATAAAGCACAGAAAGCCTTATGCTAGCAAAGCTAGAGACTATACCTACTATATCATTGAAAAGAAATCTGCTTCAAATTGCATTCTGTACTGAACATAAAACTGCATGGCAATTTTGCCCAGGTTCACTCAGAAGTCAGTATCACTCACTTCAATGCCACATGCCCAAGGATACATACATAAAACTGCAACTTTGATATGTTAAGAGTTTACAATACCATGTTAAGACTGTCCTATACTGCAAAAGACTCACATAGGCTAGATATTTAGTATGTAGTTTATGCTGAGTTTGAATGCCATCCGCTTCTCCCAGCTGGCAAATGTTGGATTCAAACATGTTAAAGCAATCACCACTCTCTTGATGTAAGACAGACTCTCATACAACTCTGTCATTTATCCAGCAAGTTCAGTATAAGTGAATGGCAAAAATAAGAATTCTCTTTACTATAGCAAATACAGAAAAGTCAGTTTAAAGGAACAAAAATTCACACATCAGCCAAAAAGAAGTTACCTGATAAAATCTGCAATGGGCATGTTTGTTTTTGTGAAACTCCCACCTGACCATCTGAGCAGCTCTGTTTCTGAGAAGATATTTCAACAATTGGAAGTGCTTACAGAACAACTTCCAAGGGAAGATGATGGTCCAGTAGCTTACACTAGGTATGAACATTTGAAACTCCTCTGGCTGTAACAGAGGAAGATTATTTCCCTGACAAATGGGTCATGCAAAATACTCTCTAAGAGCACACAGTAATATCCAAGCCATGTGTATCCATGCATAATATTGTGAAACATATGACAATATGGGGAGTCATTTGGATTTCTTTCCTGGTGTTCCAGGAAACAGCCAAATACCTAGTTGCAAAAATGGTTTCCATCATGCATAGAATTAAGCTTTGCAACCCACAGGATTTACCTAGACAGCATTAATAAGAGCTTCTTATATCCTACAAACACCTGTCAGTTATAATGCAATCTTTTAATAAATCCATTCAATCAATGTTAATCCCATTAGTAGGTTTCAAAGCCCTGAGGATATATCAGTTTCCAACTACTGGTAATAAGAAGATCTTAATTCCCAGTGGCTGGCTTTCCTTCCTCGGTCATCTAACAAACTCTTCCCCCACCCCACCCCAACAACCCTCCCACATCATACATTCCTCTCTCCAGAGTTTATGCTCGCAACTAGCTCTGGAGTCCTTTCTGCCCACAGAGATGGCATTCCTTATCTCTCTGGAAATACCCAGAAGTTCACATCTTGCTGCCTAGGGGTACACTTTGGCTGGAAAACACCTGGGTGCCCTTGGGCTTTGTTTGCTGAAAAGGGACAGACAGACAACACCAGCTAGTGATCCTCCTACCTTGATAAGGATGTACCATGCCATCCACCATCTTGACTGTATTATCCTGCTGTAACTGCAAGGACACATCCCCGACAGCATCAACAAGCTCAGTAAAGAAATCTGCAATCTCAGGAGAGTTTTGCAAAAACACATAACGGTCTTGACGATTGGTAAAGTAGGAATCACTCAAGTTGGCCCTGAAGAGGGAAAAGCAGGAAAACACTGAAAGCGAGACAAGAATGCCAATATACATATTCCAAATCATGTCGGTCTGCAACAGGTAAAAAGAGACTGAGTGTAACAATATGTTTAAAGGAAGCTAACCAATGCATGTAGGCAGACTGCCTTCCTTTACTTTACTTTATTTAGACTTATACCCCACCCCTCTAGACAAAGTCTACTCAGGGTGGCTTACATAAATGATAAAATATAATAGAATAACATACTTAATAATACATAATAATAAAACCAACTAACTGATGCATACTGTATATACATTATCAAGATGGGATAATTGAAAACATAAAGCAATTAATTGACTGGAGGGAAGGCCTGCCTAAAGAGCCAAGTTTTTAAGTGGCTTTTAAAAACACCCAGCAAGGGAGCCAGGAGGATTTCCATTGGTAGAGTATTCCACAACCGAGGGGCCACTGCCGAAAAGGGCCGGTTTCTTGTTCTTTCCTTCCGGGCCTCTCTCGGTGTAAGGCCCCTCAGTTGTCCCTGCTGACTTTGTTAGGTGATTCGAGTAGACCTGGGTGGGAGAAGGCGATCTGCCAGGTATCGAGGTCCTAAACCATTAAAACTTTGAAATCAATGCAGAAATGAATGGGCAACCAGTGCAAAGCAGACAGGGTGGGGAAGATATGCTGATATTTCCTCACCCCACTAAGGAGCCTGGCTGCCGCATTTTGCACCATTTGGAGTTTCCGCATCAATCCCAAAGGCAGCCCCACGTACAGTGCATTACAATGGTCTAATCTCGGGATTACGAGCATGTGGACAAGAATAGTGAGGGACCACCAAACAAGATATGGTTGCAGCTGGACATTCCGCCACAGGTGAAAATAGGCAGAATGGACCACAGACGCTACCTGGGTTTCCCTGGTAAGCGCCGGGTCCAGATGTATCCCCAAGCTGTGAACCTCGCTCTTTGCGGTGAGGGTCGACCCCCCAAAAGAAAGGGAGTCACCCAAAACGCTGATGGAAGGGCCACCCACCATCAAGACCTCCGTCTTGTCCGGGTTCAGCCTCAACCCATTCAACTGCATCCATTCCAGTACAGTCTCCAGAAAGCGCTGAAGGGATGGAACGGCATCCAGTGAAGAAGGTGAAAAAGAGATGTAGAGCTGTGTGTCATGAGCATATTGATGACACGATGGCGACCAATGCCGTTTCCATACCATAGCGTGGCCTAAAGCCCAATTGAAATGGGTCCAGGGCATTGGTTTCATCCAAAAGCATCTGTAGCTGGTCTGCCACCACCTTCTCCACCACTTTGCTTGGGAAGGAAACATTGGTGACAGGCCTATAATTTCCAATGTCATCCGCCACCAAATTTGGTTTCTTCCTAATGGGCCTAATGAGTGTCTCCTTGAGGACAAGGGGGACCTTGCCTTCCTGGAGAGACCCATTAATTATTGCCCATTCTGTTGTTACTGGCCTGGCTGCTTTAATTAGCGAGGCCGGGCAAGGGTCAAGGGAGGAGGTGGTGGCCCGACAGTGATCAAGCGCTTTGTCCACCACATCTGGCATCACAGGCTGAAAGAAGTCAAGGATTACCGGGCAAGGCGGAGCGCTGGACATCTCTGCTCGATCCATTGTATTTAAGAAAGGAGAGAGGTCAAGGTGGATGGTCTCCACTTTTGATTTTAAAAATGCTGCAAATTGGTCAGGTGAGATATTAGTGGGAAGCCTATCACCCAGACCAATTCCGGATAGATCGCGAACTATACGGAAGAGCTCCACCTGCTGATTAGAAGCTTTGCTTATCCGGTCAGTGAAGTGAGATTGTTTTGCAGCCCTTACCTTCTGTAGGTAATGGTTAGTTGCGATATTGACAGCTATCTTGTTATAACCCGTCGGTTCCTCCCTCCAAATGCACTCGAGCCGTCTCCTGATTCGCTTCATTGCTCGTAGGTTCATAGGTCCCTGTTATACCAGGACCCTGGCCGAGCTCTGCAACAGAGAGGGCATTTGGGGGCGATCATGTCTACGGCCCTAGTGGCAGCGGCAAACCAACCCTCCACCAGGGTTTCGACAGGAGCGCCAGACAGGGCAGCTGGAATCCCTCTCATGGTATCCTGGAATCCCACCTTCGAGGGCGGACCATTAAAATAGGCCCATGCTCCCTGCGGAGGGGGGGGGGGGGGGGGCCATTGTGAGGTTACATTTTATTAAGTGGTGATCCGACCATGACAAGGGGACTGACTCAAGGGCAGTCACCACTGGACCACACTCGCTACGCTTGGTGGAGAAAACCAGGTCTAGCATATGGCCGCCCGTGTGTGTGGGATCGTTAACATGTTGGGACATGTTCAAGGAAGCCATCGTTTCCAAGAACTCAAGAGCTGGACCGGATACCTCCACCTCCGCATGGATGTTGAAGTCACCCAGGACCAGAAGCCTCGGGGACTCCAACAGTGCTGCGGAGACGAGGTCCGCCAGCTCCAGTAGGGAGGTGGCTGAGTCGCGGAGAGCACAGTAACCCAGCAAGATCCCAATACCATCCCTGGCCCCAATCCACACATACAGGGCCTCCAGACCTGGCACCACCACCGAGGAGCGCCTTGTAACCTCCAAGGTATTTCTATAAACAATGGCCACTCCCCACCCCACCCCTCCAGTCTACCCTGGTGCTGGACTGCATAACCCGGAGGGCAGGCCAGGGTTAGAGGAACACCTCCTTCCCACCACCCCAATCCAGGTCTCAGTTATGTAGACCAGGTCTGCGTCCACCTCCAGAATAAGATCTTGAATAAGCTGGCATTTATTGGACACAGACATGGCATTCAGCAGCACCAGCTTTAGAGTGGAGGGCCAGCTGAACTGGCTACCTTGAGGCTGGCAGTTGGTCACAGTGCCAGAACAGTGAACAGCCTTCAGACATCTGTTCACTGTTCTTCTAACAGTTCTTCCCAACCCACCTTTCCAATTTTGCTTAGCTAAAGTGGTGGGGAGAGACTCAGGTGCAACTCATTTGGAACAGAAATAGTAGCAATGTTCCATGGATAAGATGAAAAACAAAGCTATGCTATGTTGTCTTTAGAGCAATCTGTAAGGCCTATAGCTTGCTGTGTCTCAGTAGAACATCCCTCTCATTCTCTGGAGATCACAGAATTCCTAAATGAATCCCCATGTTTTACAATATTTCATTTTAACAAGGGACTCACCCACTCAAGATCACGTTATCATCAAATAGATAGACCTTGATATGTTGCAATCCAATGGTCTCATTGAAACGTTCAGGGACCAGGAGTCGTAGGAGACCACGCAGATTAGGAGTATGGAAGAGGGACACACGGACCTGCTCTGGAAATCTCTTCAGGAGTGGAAGGAGCATGGTCCGAGAGTTTTTCTGACCTAGGAGACGAAAGAAATGCATTTGCTAGGACCATCAGTTAAATATCCACTTTTGTCACAAGTTACTTGTCCGAGTTGAAGTATCTTCTTTAATCTATTTTTATAGCACTTAATTTTTAGCACCTCAAGATCATGGATCATTATTGCCCATTATGACTAACATGCTTATATGCTCCAAATCTGTATCACCATTAGTTCAGACTACCAGAAAAAAGTGCTTTTCGACCACTACCGCTATGTGGCAAGGTGAAACTGCAGAATCTGAAATGTTACTTTAAAAATTTAAGTACTGACCATTAGAATTCTGAAATAACTGTTTTAGCCCAGAAAGCTGAGCACCTGGCTGCAGCACTAAAAATTGGGAGTTTGCATCCTCATTGTCTCTCCTGGTAAAGAAGCCAGCTGTAATCCGCAAGAGCATACGTGACCAAGGGGGCTCAGGACCTTGGGCATGCAATGTGGTCCCAGAGTGCCACAAGAAGGAGGGACTGGTAAAATATTGCTGAGCACTTTATTCCTCAAAAATCCTGGGAATGGCTGCCAAAAGTCAGAATCAACTTGAGAGAAAATCATCATCATGCCTTTAATTAAATACCTATCTAGACAGCTGAGTGATGGTGTTAAAGGCTACAGGCCTCATTATGGAAGAAATGGTCTCAATGTTTCCCAATTAATGTACATTGACAATATTAAATTATTTGCAAACTCTTCTGATAAAGTGAATAGTCTCTTAAACATTGTTGAGTCTTGCTCTTCTGATAAAGTGAATAGTGTCTTAAACATTGTTGAGTCTTACTGTACAGATGTCAAAATGAATTTTGGTGTTGATAAATGCACTAAAAGCAGTAAACCTATAAAAATCTAGGCATCCATGAAAATTACAGTTTATTTTATTTTATTTTATTTAACTTATATGCCGCCCACTCTACCCAAAGGTCACTCTACCCAAAGGTCTCTGGGCGGCTTACAACAATTATAAACATAAGGAATTTAAATCATTACTGAGAACCAGGTGCTTTGATAGTGATGATGGTACTGTACTCAAAACAGAATTCAAATAGAAAAATGACAGCTACTAATAGGTAGGCAACCTCAATATTAACATATTATTTTGGAATTGTGGACTGAAAGTATAGTGATCTTGATAATTTGAATAGGAAAACCCAGGTCCTCCTGTCAAAATACCTGTGCTATCATCCAAATACAGAGTGCCTTTCTTTGTCACGATGCATAGATGGGCGCAGACCTGTTGATCTCAAGGATTTCTATATGGGTCAAACTTTGAAACTACTTCAGTGGAGTATGATCCCACTTTATCAGATGACAGTAGAAAACAATAAAGGCCTAACCATTACAACGTACAAGCGAGAACCAACCTATGTTAATGAAAGATTCACAGTGTAGGGATGTGTGGCTTAAGAAACCATTACATGACACTACTCCAGTTACCTCCTCGATGATAATGTCAATAAGCAACAAGCAAACCTAGTTATTTGCACTAGAGAGTATCAGAAAATAATTATGTAGGAAAGTGTAAGTGATATGTGTAGAACTTATCATGAATCCAAATTCATCATAACATAGTTGGATGCCCTAAACTAACATCAGTGGATACATGTGCAAAAATAACCAAATTGCAAAAATAATTTTTCAGCAGCCGCCTAAAATGGTCCGGTGGTCCTGACAGGCAGGGTATCAATCAATCAATCAATCAACATTTTTCAGCAGCCGCCTAGAATGGTCCGGTGGTCCTGATAGGCAGGGTATAAATCAAATCAAATCAATCAATCAATCAATCAATCAATCAATCAATCAATCAATCAATCAATCAATCAATCAATCAATCAATCAATCAATAATGGACTACTCCTGTCTTTTCCTCCACATTATAAATTCCAGCCACCTCCTGTTTTAGAAAATGAAACCATAATACAGTACTATACTGGAGAGGCACGTTATCATGAATAAAACCGTTGATTTTAATAAACGAGGTATTATAATTTTGGATAAAAAACAAAGAAAAACATACTTTAAAGAAGTTGAAGTTCCATTAACAAACAACTTTTTAAAAGTACAGAATGTACAAAACTTGCAATGTACAAAACAGTAAGGTAAAAAATTTAAAATAATACAGAAGCTAGATCAAGTCATCCTCCTTCCCTTACTAATTTCAGTAGAGTTGTTCCAAAACTTTGGTTACTAATTTAAAATAATTGCCAAGAGCTGCTAGTTTGCTTCCAGAAATCCAAATATGAGTGACTGCAAACATGCCATCTTACCCACGCATTTTAGGAATTGACTCCTAGTGCTTACGTTTGACCCTTTCATCTGCCTCCCCCATGGACCAGCCATGCTGTGAAATAAGAAGTATGATACCAGTACTAGTAGTAGTAGTAGCAATAGTAGCTGTTGTTACTCCAAAACACTATAATTAGTCACTTTACAGTTGTAAAGGTACTTCTACTTCCCCGTTTATCAAAGGAAACCAAAACGGTTACTTTTTAGTTACTTTGGAGATGAACAGATGAATGTTACAAGCTGTAAAAACTGAAAATAAATAATGTATACACATTGAGGACAAGATAAAAACAGTAACATAGTAATATTAATAAGCAAACTGTGTAACAGTATGCCTAGCCCTATGCTATGCAACAATACTGATGAACAATGCACATACATTTTTAAAACTTAGAGAATTACACTGATGCATTGCATTTAAACATAGCCTCAGAGTAACCAGCTGAACAAAGAACTCATCATTGAGTAAAAGGCAGAGGACGGCAAAAAAAATCCTAACCAAGATATTTTGCAATCCTGCATATTTTACTCAAAAGTAAGTCACTATACCAGAAAGTTACAACAACAAAGCATTCCTAGAACAACCTCTTTGTACAGTGGTGCCTCGCAAGACGAGCGCTCCATTTTATGACAAAATCACATTATGATGACGTTTTTGCGATCGCAAAAGTGATCGCAAAACGATGTTTCCTATGGGGGAATTTCGCTTTGCGATGATCAGTTCCCTGCTTCGGGAACCAATTCTCGCAAAACGATGATTTTCCTACAGCTGATCGGCGATTTCAAAATGGCCACCGCGTTTTAAAAAAAAGGCTCCCTGCTCTTTTCTGGGACAGATTCCTCGCTGCACGGGATTTTAATGCATTTCTATGGGCTTTTTAATTTCGCTTTACGATGTTTCCAGCTATTTCACTGGAACGATTTAACATCATAATGCAAGGCACCACTGTATATCTACTATACAGTACTTGGAAAACACACAGAAAAATAGTACTGTATAGTACGAATTTCTAATTTGCAGTATCTTTTTGGAAAAAAATAGAAGTATTTACATAATAAAATAACATGCAGAATTAAGATAACATAGAGAAAAACAGGTGACTAACAATTCAAAAAGGAGAACACATAGCCAGCAGAAAGATAATTATAGAAACAGAAATAATGCATCAATCTAATGTGCCTCTCTGTTAAGGTTCTATAAGGGAGAATTAATATAATGATAATTGTGTGCTGTCAAGTCAATTTCTAAGCTGTCATTTCTCAAGTCTCAGCCTAAGCAGCACTGAAGAACTCAAGTCTGAAAGCTTAATCCTGTCTGATATAGGAGAGCAGGTATTGCTCTGTGACTGGTAGGTGCCCTGGCTGCAAAGCCTGTGCCTGGGATTTTGAATTCCCACTGTCCCTCCTGGGAAAGGGGCAAGTTGAGCTCACTCAGTGTGTGTGTTTGTGTGTGGGGCTAATAGGATTATGTGCCCTACTGCCTGTGTGGCCTTGAACAAGCTGTACACTTCAAGAGCAGAAGGACTTGTAAATTAATTCTGAGTAATGGTTGTTGTGGGTTTTTCGGGCTCTTTGGCCCTGTTCTGAAGGTTGTTCTTCCTAACGTTTCGCCAGTCTCTGTGGCCGCCATCTTCAGAGTAGAAAAACAGAACTCAATTCAAATAGAAAAATGACACCTACTAACAGGTAGGCAACCTCAATATTAACATATTATTATATTTTCATATATATGGAGGCCCCCAAGGTGCTGAAAGGTTGTGAAAATATCTCAATGAGCTACATTTTGACTAGCCCTGGTGCATGGAATTTGTTTAAATTTGAAATCTGAGGAGAAACTAAAGCAGGATATGTACCCAGCCCAGGCCATTCGGCTGCAAATCAAGCAGGTACTTAATTTTATATCTAACCGAATAAGTCAGGCTCAGTTGGCTAGATGTCTCATAGAGCAGAAACATAAATGGTGGTTTCCGAGTGCAATATTCAGAAGCATTGAATTTAAATTTGCTCTTCAATATTCTGTTCCCTTCAATGTAGAAGAGAACAGATAACTGATGGTGGATAGCTGTTCCTGTTGAAGCCAAGAAATAGAAAGCCATGTAGAAGGGCATGTATGAAATCAGTGTATGTGAAAGGACAAGGAACATGACATTAAACTGTTACATCATAGATGCCTTTCTGTTTTGAATCTTAGCTGCATCTTGAGGTCTAATAAATACCCACTGTTGGAGGCAATAAATCTTTGAGAATGTGATGGGAAAGTGCATGATGGAGTGGAAATCTAGGAAAAATGAGCTTCTATTCTCATAATTCAATGACACACACATACACACCCAGCTGAATTATGGGACTGAGAGCTGTCAAAATGGCAGGAGACAGCATGCCCTTCTTACTTCCATACTCTTCCCACTCTTCTTCTTTGTGCTCTCTGAAAAGCACACTGGACCCCTTTGTGAGTCGTGAGGGTTCTGTGCAACTTGCAAAGGTGGCCAGGGTGCTTTGCAGAGGGTGCAAAGAAGGGGTATGGAAATGGCATGGAGATAAAGCAGATGTAAGATTTCCTGGTGTTTGGAAAGCTCCCCATCCCATACTTTGGCCTAGTGTGGGGTGTGTATGGGGCTGGGAGTTTATTTCCCCCCCCCTCAAAGTCCCATTCTTAATGGGTGGTGGACCAGTTCCAGGTAGCAGAACAAATCAGTGATCAAACAATTTTCTAGTCAGAAGTTTGTTTGTTTGTTTATTATTTATTTAAAATATTTATATTTCCTTTCTCCTTAAAAATGATCCAAGGTGGGCTTAAATAATTAAAAAGACAGTATTTAAAAGCTAAACAGTAAGTATACGAATATTTAAAAGTTTAAGAAAGAATTAAACAAGCATTAGATTTAAAATGGTAAGTAAAATCAATACTAAAACACATTTAAAACAAGTTTTAACAGAGCACAACAGTCCATTTAAAAACCCTCTCGGATCACCAGTCACTAAGGAAAAGCCTGCCTGAAAAGAAAGGTCCTTGCCTGCTTGCAGAAAGACAACAAAGATGGAGCCATCCTGGCCTCCTGTGGGAGGGAGTTTCAAAGTCTGGGAGCAGCAACAGAGAAGGATCTCTCCTGTGTCCCCAGCAAGCATGCCTGTGTGAGGGTAGGCATGAGAGAAAGGCCTCTCCTGATGATCGTAATGCCTGGGCAGACTCATAGAGGAAGATGTGCTCTTTTTGATAGTTTGGACCCAAGCTGTTTAATCCTGCTTTCCTTATTTATAGGTGGAAATAAGACGCTGAACGCTAACACTTCATTAAGTTTTCAGCTTGCATTGGAAACAGGGCAAAACATTCCCATCTCAAAATGGAAGAATAAGGTCTAACAGTTAGGATTGACGGAAGCCTTAATGTAGCAATTTGGGGGGGGGGGGGGTTGCTAGAAGAAATCAGAGCCAAGTATCTTTTACAGTGTGTGGCATCCATTACTCTCTGTTCATCAGTTGAAATAATATAACCTACTTCTCCCTGGCTGAAATATTTAAAAGCTGGTTGGATGGCTCAGTGACTTAGGTGTCTGGTTGTGGAGACAGAGGTTGGGACTTTGATTTCCAGCTGTGCATCCCACAAGAGTCAGCCTTTGTAGCCTTGGGTGACCCACATAGTTACAGGATGCCTTCAGAAGAAGAGAACAGTAGACCGCTTCTGTGCACTCTCTATCTAGAAAGCCGTGAAAAGGGTCACCATCAGTCAGAATAATCAGTTACGGTAGTATCTCGGTTTATGAATTTAATGCATTCTAGGGGACGTTATGTAAAGCGAAAAATTCGTAAACCCAAACGTGGATTGCTGTAGGAACGGGGGTGGCGCTACAAACCTCCAGGCACAATGCATCTTGGGGAAACTTTCTTCGAAAACCAAAAACCCTGAAAAAAACTCTAAACCAAGGCATTATTTTCAATGGATTTCCGTTTGTAAACCGAGGCGTTCGTAAATAGAGGTACTACTGTACTAGAATTCCTTCCCCCCCAATAATAAAAATATAAATAAATTACATCATAACTTCTGTAATTACAGAATGGACTTTTAAATTTTCCAGTCACACTGAAAAAGAAATGATATTATTCCTTATATTCCTTATAGATCAATAAAACATTGGCTAAGAATCTACTATAACCTGGAAAAGTCTGAAACTTCATCATTTAAAGAACCTGTAAATACCTGTGACGTCCAATGAGGTGGACAAGGTGCTTTGATACCGTCAAGCCTTTGATACCGTCAACCACGGTATCCTCCTGAGGCAGCTCTCTGAGTTGGGTATTGGTGCTATCGCTTTGGCGTGACTTCGTTCCTTCTTGGAGGACCGTCCCTAGAGAGTGCAGCTTGGCGGGATGATTTCCAGCCCATGAATCCTCAATTGTGGGGTTCCACAGGGGTCTATCATTTCACCAACACTATTTAATATCGATTATGACACCGCTGGGTGAGGTCATTTGGAGTTGATGACACCCAACTCTACCTCTCCTTTCTTCCTACTGTAGTGGATGCTGTTCTGACCCTTGAACGCTGCTTGGGGACCATTCTGGAGTGGGTGAGGGCAAATGGACTGAATCTGGACAAGACGGAAATCTTGCGCGTGGGTGGCTCCGGCATCAGTGGGTTGAGAAACTCCCTCTCCTTTGGGGGAGTGACTCTTCCCATGAAGAGTGAGATTCGCAGCTTGGGCATCTGCCTGGACCCGGATGTCACCATGGAAAGCCAGGTGGTATCTGTGGTCCGGGCAGTCCATTTCCATCTTTGGAATATTGCCCAGTTGCATCCCTATCTAGACGCTGGGACACTCACAACGCTGATCCATGCCCTTGTAATCTCAAGAATAGACTACAGTGGTGCCTTGATTTACGACCATAATCCGTTCCAGAAGATGGATGTAATTCGAAATGGTTGTATGTCCAAGCACCATTTCCCATAGGAATGCATGGGAACATGATTAGTCTGTTCTGGCCAAAAAAACACAAAAAAACCCAAGAAAACCCCGAGGGCCAGGACCTAGCAGCGGCAGCGGCAGCAGCCCCATGGAGGGAGGTGAGGAGTGCCAAGGGACACCCCCACCGCTGCCACATCCCTTTCCCGGGGCTGTGGTGGCTGCTCCCTTCCTTTCAAATCAAGGGGGTAATGTCGATGCATAGTGGTGCCTCAACTTGATTTGAATTCCCTGCCTTTTCCCCCTGCCTTTTCCTGGTTGTAACTCGAAGCTCTGGTCGCAAGTCGAAGCAAAATTTCGCGGCCAGAGCTGGCTGTAACTCGAAATGGTCGTAGGTCAGGACGTTCGTAAGTCAAGGCACCACTGTACTGCAGTGCTCTCTACATGGGGCTACCCTTGAGGCTGATGCGAAGACTTCAACTGGTCCAGAATTCAGTGGCCAGATCAATAACTGGGGTGAAGAAATTCCAGGCAGGGTGGTTGAGGGCCTTGACCCCGAAGGAGGCCCGGAGGGAAAGAACAAGAAACTGGGCCTTCTCGGTGGTTGCCCCCTGCCTATGGAACAAGCTGCCTTTTGAGAACTGCCTGGCACCCTTGCTGGATGGGTTCAAAAGAGCACTGAAGACCTGGCTCTTCCACCAGGCTTTTCTCGCCCTCCCTTTTTACCATTCTTTTTGCCATCCTCTCCATCACCATTTTTATCACCTTTATTGCCATTTGTTTTAATTTCCCTAATTATGTATTAATTTATTTTTATTGTGTTTTTAATATTATTCCTCATATTGTTGTTAGCCACCCAGAGTGGCCTGGTTGCCAGATGGTGCGGGATATAAAAACAAACAAACAAACAAAGACAGACAGACAGACAGACAGACAAACAGACAGACAGACATCTCTTTTGAGCTGAGATTCCAACCTTAGACTAACCCAGCTACAGGAAAAAACTCTGTGGCCAAACATAGACACACTTACCCCGAGATCCCCTTGTGAAGTCCAAAAGAATGGACACTCTAAGACTGGAAAGTTCAGATTCCTGCAAGGATCTCTCCAAAGTCATTTCGATGCAATCCACCTGAAGGAAAAACACAGGCATAAAACACATGACACATGCTCAGAAATAAGGTACGCATATAAACAAAAGGTCTTAGGACACACACTTTCTGAACATATTCTCTACTCTCTTCCATGCCTACCAAATCAGTACAGCTGTTATGGCTGGACATCAATCCACTCACTCTCACACCCAAAAAGGGAAGTAATTAGTGGTTCCTATGTACTTTAAATTGCACTTGTTCTCCTCTGAGAAGCAGACTAATACTCTGGAAGTAAAGATTAAGGCAGAGGCAGGAAAAAGTGTTTGCATTTAATGTGTTTGTACTGGTGACCTCACTGCAGATTAACATAACAAAATGCTTCTTCCCATAATTCTACACAAGTCAGAAGCTATTGAAAGTCTGAAACACAGTAAGATAGAACGTTTAGTCCTTTTTGTTTAGTAAAGAAAGGACGTCAGTATCAGCCACCTCCTACAGCAGATACACAATGCACACAATTTGTTGCTATGTGCTGTCAAGTCAAAATCAACTTACAGCAACCTTAATAGGACTTTAAAGGCAAGTAAGATACTTAACAATTTCACCAGTTCCACACACCCAGTGAGTTTCCATGGCTGAGCAGGGATATGAACCTAGCAGAACTCTTAAGTCCTAGTCTGTCACTATCTGCTACACTACACTGAGTATCAATGCACACAATACAAACTGTCATCTGCAGGGCATACTGGATGCTACTTAAGTCAGTGGGTAGCAGACTGGCCATAAGAAAGCTAAGATACCGTATTTTTCGCTCCATAAGACGCACTTTTCCACAAGACTCACCAAATTTTTAGGAGAAGAAAACAGGAAATTTGTTTTCTTCTCCTAAAAATTGGTGAGCCTTATGGAGAGGTACATCTTATGTAACACACCCTAGGACCCTTTGGAGGCTCACCCTGCCCCCCGGGGATCAGAGGGGGCGACATCGCCAGTTTCTGGGACTCTGCTGAAGCTTCCCAAGCCTCAAAAGAGTCTGAGAAGCTGGTGATACCCCCCCTCTGGCCCAGCAGGGGGGGCAGGGTGAGTCTCTAAAGGGTCCTAGGGTGTGTTCCAGGACCCTTTAGAGACTCACCCTGCCCTCCCCCAGGTGAGAGTGGGTAAAATCACCACCTTCAGGGACTTGTGAAACTTCCCAAGCCTCAAGTGTCCCAGATGG